GGCTTGAACTCATTTATGAAAGTTAACAGTGTGAGAAAAATACTCTCCATTATGAGTAAAGATTCCACAAGCTGCCTCAAAATATGCAGTGCCACCTAATAATTTAAAAATAAAACCAGAAATATGGAGACAAAACAAACAACACTGATAGGCTGATATCTAAAACTGAAAGGACTTATTCTTTTTCTTCTGCCACTCAATTATTATTCTGATAGATTTGAAAAATTTTTTGACTGAAAAGGTTTAATCTTTTACCATTACCACAACCATACTCTCACTGCAACGACATTTCAATGATCAAGTACACAAACATAGAACTGTTTTCACTAGCACTTCTTTTTCTTTTGGGATCTTAAATTGGTTAAATATAAAAAGATACTTGCAACTCAATGTATTATTTGACAACATACTGATTTTCTGTACTAAATTCCGATTCTTGTTTGTTAAAAGAAAAAATATTGGACATCAAAACACTTTGTTCCTCTGTGATGTCACCATTGTACAAATATCACACACATGAAATTTATACACAAAATCCCCATTCAGTTCCAGCAGAATCTTCATGTAGTTTTCCCTGATGTAACAGCAGCACACATACACACACATGCACTTCACCTTCCATACAAGTGCTGCACACAGCTTTTTCCAACATGAGCTAAGGTACAGCAACACCTAATGCTGGATGCACGTTTGCTTTGCTCGGTGTCACCGCGTGAGCCCTACTGCTGCAGCCATTTGCCACTGGAGACACACAACCCCACTGCTCCAGTCAGGTTTAGAGATGCTCTTTATGTGGAAACAGACTGCTGTTATCACAAACCTTACTCTCATTATGTGACTTCTGAAATAGGAAATTACGTTGTCAAAGCTATGAAAAAGAAACCCAAAGAAGACCCAAACAGAAGGCAGATAGAGGAAAAAAGACCTGTTTTTCACAAATTACCCCTGAAAGATTGTTGCTATACCACAGCCATTGCATATTTATATTGCTGGTCCATGAATTTCAACAGTGTTTTTTTCCTTTGTTATTTACTTGACAGAGCGATAATATAATCCCTACTATCTGATGGTATATTCACTTCCTTGAGCAATACAATGATCAACCATTATGCAAAAATACAGAAACCCACCCTCAGTCATATTCAAGCAAGAATTCCTGTGATGTTTGATAGCTGCAGGGACAGAGGATGACTGAGTAAAGACCACAGATGTACCCTTTATATGAAAGTATAATTTTAAAACCATGCAACTACACCACAAAGTTGTTATAGAAACAGCTAAAAGGCAAAGTCAACGCAGAATCCCCATCCCTCTTAACTATTGCACAGCTCCACTCAAACATGATGCAAATAAAAATACAGTGATGCAAATCTCTTACAGCCCAGCACAGAATGACATATTGAGAATACACCATTGTCCTTACCATGGCTTAGAATTTCACTGCTTTAGTCACTGAGCCAAAACATCTTCATAGGATTAGGTCCTCTTATAAAATCATCCATTAATACAAGAAACATCAAAACCACTTCTTTAGTAGCATAAGTTAGGGAAATTACTATTAAATTGTGATGCCTTGAAAACACACACAGACACACCTATACAGGACTAATTTTCAATATTCAAACATCTCAAGACCTTTCAATACAACAGCATCCCAGTCTTGTGTTCTAATAAATACTGCTGAGAGGGTTGCAAAGGAAATAAATATAACTACATCGTCCTTGAATATTACTGTAATAAAAATAAAAATCACATTGCCTAAAAATTACAGAAGCCTACAGTCTTAACTGCATCCACTTTTTAAAACCTGCATGCCCTCGAGTTGCTATTACTTAGTTAGTATTTTCTCAAATATAATATAACTATTGCCTCACCTCCACTCTAAAGCTACACAAAGCTGCTCTCCCCTTCAGAACATAATCACCAAGACTGCCATTTTTTCTCTTTTTTTTTCCAGTGTGAATTATAACACTGTTTAAAGGTTTTAATCCTTAAACTTGATCTTTTCCTCTACATTTAAGTTTGTTTCTCCATTCCTGATCAGTAGTGTCCTATCAACTCTATTTCTGTAATTGAATAAGGATCACTACTTTGGTCTTCTCTGTAACGATTACTTCTGTGGGTTTGGTTTGTTTTTTAAGAAAGTATGTGCATTATTCAGGATCTTGGAAAACTACCTTGGTTTCTTGTAAGTTGAATTTTTATTATTCTCAGATATCCAACCAGAGTAGCAACTGAGACAACATCATTTGGTAAAGACAAAGAAACAAGCTTTCGTTTAGTTCTAAACTTGACAACGAAATGGAATGTCTGAAATACGTCAGCCAAGCCTTATTAGCATGGATATGATCACTTACAATTGGTAGCTAAAGATTAGAGATTAATACTTATAATATCACTCTATTTCTCCACATGAAAACTGCTACCAGTCTGTCACTCCTTCATTAAATCTCATTTGTTCCATAAGGAGGACGTTAAAGAGCAATAAAATTACTTCACTGGATTCTTCTATGTCTTCTGAATGTTCAAGACAGCAAATAAGAAGACCATTCTTGATATACAAATATGTAATTTTTTTGTAGCAATCACTATGCCTTGTGTAACAGACTTAAATGCACATATGTATATATTTAGATGAGTATTTGACCCTCATAAAACAATAGGATTCTTATGGAATGCAAAGAAGTACTTTACTATAAAAATGATACTTTATGGCATATCACACAGGTTTTCCTTGATGTGTGACGTCAAGATGACCATCAAAATATAGGAAGAAAATGCATTTCGAAATATTTCCAAGGATATTGCACTAGGTTTTGACATCATCTATATCTACAGTGACTGTGAATTTAAACCAATAAGGACACACACCAGTTCCAAGCACAGTTAATACAAATCTTTTACAGACCTCCATATGTTTTGGGTTCAATACTACATTAAGGTCAGATCACTTCTGGTTTGACTCTGGTACTCATTCATCAGGGATTATAGAGGTGAAACTAATATTAAAATCTGGTACTGAAAATCAGAGCAAGTACTGTGGTCTTATGGCCTTAGTGAATTTATTTTTTTACAGTAGCATTAAGTTAGATATACTAGTATATGTACTTCAACAGATACTGACACCATTTTTTAAACACATATTATAAAAACTATTCAACTTAGTACTCCTCTGCAAACACGTTCTGAGCCTGAACAGAGCATTAAACATGGGTAAAATAAGAAAAGCTCCCTTTCAGAAGCAAAGTCAGTCATGCAGACGAAACCCAAGTACTGTGCAGAGAAGGAAATGTCTTTAAGCACTGATTCCATGTGCTGTGAAACAGCCCCAGTAACAGGTGGCACGATTTGTAACAACACCAAAGCACGGCGCATCTCACCTGCCCGTTTCACGTGAAAGGCGCGAGCACAGTAAGCACAAGTGTAAACAGGAGTTCACTGAAACTGCATTACTTTACAAGTGTTCACGGTATCAACAACTTTATAAACCCAGAGTAGTTTTGGCCTTCTGCTCAACTTTCATTTTTTCTTTCCTCTTATGTACACATTCCATTTCTACTCATTTTCATGGAAAGGTCTACATTCATTTGTCTTCAACAAAACATAAACTGGCGTTTTACTCTCACACATCAGTTACCAAGACCAGTAGAAAGATGATATATGAATATGCAAAGGAAAGCCAAATTAAAATTAAATTAAAAGCTAATTCATCATTATACATTGTACCAAGTTCTGAAATTGAAGTAGAAATATTGAAGAAAGTTGAAATTCATTACTTATTACATTTTCCTATAAAGCTCCCAACTTGCTAATATGCAGAAATAGAAACTCTGAATGTAGTTTATAATTCAGACAGTACTAGAGTCACTACAAAATGAGAAGACCTGAATAGGAAGTTTAAAGTTAATAAAAGTCACTTATATCAGTATATTAATCATTCAAAATAAACACGTTTATAAAATAAGAGTACATTTTATATGTGCTAATTCAGGGGGTTGTATGCCATCACAGCTCAAAGCCTTAACATTAATGCGAACTAATTGCAGATTAATGCAAGCCATCATACAAGAAAACCTCATTGGTAATCTGCCATGATAAAGTGGTCATGGTCAGCAACTTTATCTGTTCAAGAATATGATCTGCTGACAGTTCTGCAATGCATTAAAATATTTCATCATTTATAAGCATTTCTTTAATTTCCACAAAGAAGAAAATGTTCTAGTATGTGGCAATCTCAGTTGTTGCTTGTAGTCAATGAGAAAACAGGATTTTTTAAACACAGAAGAAAACATGAATGTACACATTTTTTCCATTGTGCCACTTCATTTCACCATAACAGCTCATTCTCTGTGTGTAGTATGTTGCTAGAAAAGGAAACAACAATGTACAACCTTATTTGATCTTAGTAAGAAACTTCTTCCACAATCATCGGGTCTACATTGTCTCTTTCAGAAAAAAGTAGCACTCTTTGCCTGATCAGTTTATTCTTAAGCAAGAAAAGACTGGTGACCTGTGCTCTCACATTTCCCATGGTAATTGTTTTCATTCTTTATTCACTGAACTATGAACTCCAGAAGAAAAATAGATCTGTGACATTTATTATTAATCTGTGTTAATAATGCACAACAATAAATATAAATCACAAAATAAGAAATGAGTAAGACTGTCAAAAAACCTTGGCCCAGTTTTCTGATGGTATTTGTTTTTGGTTTTGGGGTTTTTTTTGCTGGTAACATAGTAGACATGTTGGCAACTACCATGACTCAAATAGAAGATTTAAACATGAAAGGGTACTAGAAAAGTAAGGCAATTAAACCACATGCAATAACCCACCAGTCAAACTTCACTGGATTTCCCAAACTGCAAAGGTGCTTTCATTGTCTTCTATTGCTTTACTGGTAGAATTATAGCATTGGACATATAGTTATGCAAGAAGACTTAAAATAAAGAAAGGTAAGGAATCAAAGAGTTTGAGCTATCACAAGCTCATTATTTGATACCTTGCTCTATACTGCCACTTCTTACTGGAACTTGTGGTAGCTGTCTTCCCCTACGACTGCTGAAGGAGGTGTCTGCAGGAGGAGACTGCGTGGGACTTCCTTGTTGATGTGCTCTGCAAATGAAATTTAAATGAAAGCAAAATAAGGCAAATGAAGACACATATTATATTCTGATTTTTAAACACAAATTAAGTTGCAGGTACTGAAGATGGGTTTGAAAAAGTTTGCATTTGGTCCATGCCATATGCACATACTCAGGTCTAGATACCTAGTCAACTTATAAGGTCTTACATTTAATTTTCTAACTACCTTCAGCTATAGAAAAATTGTTTCCTTTCGGTTGTTTATTTGTTTAATTTATTTATTTATTTGTGGGGTTTCTCTGGTTTATGGTTTTTGTCATTTTGGGGGTTTCTTTTGATAAAGTAATATTGAAGAACCAGTGAATGGAAGGCAGTTTTTTAAGAACCACTTATGATTATTACTCCAAATTTCTATACATTCTCCTGCACTGGTACAAGGGCAATATAAAATGCCACTTTTATGTTTTATTAAATGTAATATTCCCATTATGCTCATGCAATAATTGCATAAGACCACTGGACTGCAAGCATCTATTTCCAAAGGATAGCGTGTGTTTTTTCCCCAGAACACAAAGAAGGAAAAAGATTGGGGTGGGATAAGGGAGGGTGTGTGTGCATGCAAAACATGCACGAGACCTTTAATATTCATATCTAATAAATATGAATAAATATATCTCCTAAATCACTTTGGCTGAATTCTAGCTAGAACTATTTCAGAACATTTTGGCTACTTATTCACAGATACAGTTTCAGAGTGTAAAGCATCAAATACCTTTGGAACCCTAACATTTAAAGTAAGTATGGACAGCTATAATAACTATAGGGAAAATGTTTAAGAAAGTAAAACAAAAATATGAGAAGCAGCAGATTGCTGAGGAGAGCTTACTGTGAAATGCCCTTGCCAGTTACAGTAATGTCACACTCACTATAGTGCATAAGCACTGTTTATCCACTTGCAAGTAGATCACTTGTAATTTGAAGTAGCACATTTGTGCAAGTTCAAAATACTGTTGGCTTTCACTAGGTAGATCAACTGACTTTCTCTCAGCCTGTAAGATCAGAGTTTGCTGTGTGAACACAGCATAACACAAGCTAACAACACATACAACAAAAGGAATAGCACAGAATAGGCTATGAATACCTGAGTTTACCACAAAAGCATTTCTGTTTCTGAAACACACCTTATATTAACTGCATTTCAGTTAGTGACCTAAAAATGGACAATATGGAAGCACACCTGTGATTCCCTTACTTTTCCTTTACAATTTGAAATAGAAAATCTATTTAAGTACCTGTAAGTACTAAAACAGAAATATAGTTCTAAAGAAACTCTAATGAAAGTATAAATAATATTATGCAGCAAAGTGATTGATCATGTTAGTATAATAGACCATAATTATTACTAGATCCATAACTACAAGATAACCTGAAGCAGTCAAAGTTTGTAGAGTGGCAAAATATTCTAACTGTGCCTTTTTACTCTTGTTTGGCTTTCCAGCAGGGCAGCCTTTTGTGAATGGTACTACTGTATCAGAAATTATACCGGAAATTTCAATTCTTGTGCCATAATTTCCTTATGGGGTGGTGTGTTGGTTTTTGTTTGTTCGTTTGTTTATTTTTGTTTGTTTGTTTTTTAAATTTCTGCTGACACCTATGAAATTTCCCTTCCAACATCCAGCACAACTTCCCCACAAGACACAGTCAAGGTATCCAAGGAACTTTCTGGTTCATATGACTATCATACACTAAGAAGTAATCCCAAAAAAGCCCCTATATATGAAATAACACAAGGATGCCTACAAAGGACAACAAACAGGTTTGGATTCAAAAGAATTTCAGCAGTAACAGTCCCTGTGGAAGAACAGTCACAATGCAAATAAAACAATATTCTATTGCTTGAGCTTGTATTCCCTCCCCTAAATCCTATCATTTCTTCAGCTAACTCCTCGCTTGCCCTAGTGATAACCAAAATATTCTTGCAGACACTGAATTTCCTGATTCTGAAAGAGGCTTACAATAACAAAGATGACCTGACTTCTGAAAATTTCTGTTTCTCCATGCTGACTACAAAAGCAATCCATGCCAACTATTGCATTTAACCAGGTTTTAAGCATTTATCAGATGGCTAAATATCATAACATCCATAAGGTAAATATGGACCTTACTCTGTGCCAGAAAGTTATTGTTTGCTTTTACTATGGATAAATGCTTCCATCTAACAAAGTCATCATGTTATTAGTTCTAATTTTTTTCCTTTTAAAAGCTAAATATCCAGGAATTTACCTGAGAGCCCAATGAAAAACTAGAAGTCTGTCCCACCATTACAGAACAGGACAGGACTTACCTGCAACTCAGAAACTTATCTCCTTCTCCAGTAACACTCTTTTTATAGACATGCCTTCCATGAAAAAGATAGAGGATCTGCTTAACTCAAATGAAGACAAATCAGGCTTAAGGTTTTCGTTAGCTGGGGTATTACAACAAGAATAACATGCCTCTTGGTGTGCTAATAAAAAGAGAGACAAAAGGCAATTGAAGAATAACTAGAATGGCATTAAGGACTTGCTGCCACTGATCTGTTGCTTGCAGGAAGAAGCCTGCAAATGGCTGATCAGAAGAATGAGACAAAGGGGAACACGGAAGAAGTATGGAAGACAAAAGCTAGTGAGAAGATGAGACAGAAGTGATATAAGAAGTAGAAAGAGAAGAGGAATTTGGGGAAAAAAATGCTACCTGGTGAGCAGTGAGACTGCAATGAGCATGTACATGTGTATTGCCTGGCTCCTCACAGAGGAAGGAGACACTACAAGCAGCAAACCTCTTAATTCAGCTGGCAGTGGCCTACAGGGGAATCCCACAGATTCCAGCTCTGCCAGTACACAGGAAAACTCAAATTTCTTTCCCTTCAGACTGATGCCTCAGTATCATGCTCCTACCTAAGAAACTATAAAGAAAAACTAAGAATAAGCAAGGGTCACCAATCTCCAGCTCACCCCCGGAATAGTGGCCTATGCTAAGTACAGAAAATACAGACCAAGGCTGTATGTATCCTAAAATATGACAGGTAATGTCACATCTGGTAATTCTAGGGTTAGGGCTGAAAGAAAACATTTTACAATTGGGATTAACAAATTTTTGCTCATTCATAAAAGAACAGAAAATTATTTTTGTGCAATCACTTTTACTCCTTCAGAACAGTTCACTGAATCCTATCTAGAAGGCTTATCTCATTGAATTAGAAGAACTTCTAGGCTTTATAAACTATCTTCAAAAGGCTGTTTTTCTCTCTTCTATGCACATTTCCCAATCTATCACACTTCGCAGAAAACTTAATTTTATATAGTGTGTTGAAATGCCTTCTAGAGAAGCTGACAGCATGCTGATAGTTATTCCAGTAATGTGCTTAACTAATAGTAGACAGGATTTGCAAATGGCAAAGTAAAGCCCAATTGTAAGAGAAAAATGAATATTTGAAGAAAAAATAGTCTCAAGTTATATTTGACAGGAAAATTCATTGCCTGTCATCAAAACCTTCTGTCACTAGTGCAATATTACATCTCTGATGGAATACTGAACTACAGAATTCAGACTTATTGAAACATTTTTGTCTCACATCTAATGCTAGTGAATCATTTTATGGAAACAGAAGCCTACAACAGGTGCCATGGAGATGTACAAAGAAGCAGTACAATTTGTGTTTGCCTATGCTCTTGTCCCCTGGCTTCATTACTGAATTACTGAGAGCCAAAACCTTTGGACACCAGTTAGTTTTCAGAAGTTAAAAAATCCAGTGAAAAAAAAGGTTTTAGTAATCTCCATGGCACAAAAGTCTCTGATTCAATCATAGCAAGGATTTCAGTCATCATTTAGGTAATCTCTCTGACTCAAATTGAAAAAGCACCTGGGTTGTTGTGACAACAGTCATCTGACTCAAGAAAAATGTAGCCATTGCTTTTGGATTAGGAACAATAATCTGGGACTAGAAACGGCAAAACTAAAATAAAAGGGGTTAAGTTTTGCTACATAATGTGCATTTTCATTAAAAATAAAGATGTCTGTATTGTTCATGGGAGTTTTAAAGCTCTCACAATGTAAACAGTTGTACATTCCACCTCTGTGAATCAAAATAACTTTAATCAATTTCTGACAAAGGCAGGATCTCCTCCATCCTCACTGCTCTTATTTCAGTCACTATACAGGGTTTAAAACTTAACTAGATGTATTCATTATTCAGTATATATCTTTATTTTTTCTACATATATATCTTTATTGCTTCTATTTATTTGTGTTCTATTTTATTAATATATTTCTATTCCATGTTTTATATATCTATATTTTCTCTAATTTTTCTTCTTTTTCTTAAGATTTTGACCATGTAACTCCATACTACTGTAATATCAAAGTTAAGATATAATGACAATACAAATTCAGAAAAAAAGAATTCATTTAAAAAGTTCCAGTCTTTATATTAATTTTATGAAATTATGGATTTAAATGTGTAACTTAAAATTTTTATATATTAAAGTGAAATTGATGGAATCAGAGGCATTTTGAATTATTTATCTGTTATAGCTGTCTATCTATTTATATAATCTATTGTGGTTTTTCATCCTCAAAGTTAATGTAAAATAAGGAGTTTTTTGAAAAAGAATCAGTGTTAAAGTGCAGAAAAGCACTTCTAATCTTTGCCATTGAGCTTATCTGCAATGATGGAAAATGCCAGAAAAATTCCACATGTATGCAACAAAGTGATAATAATACAGATACAAAATATATAATACTGTAAATTATGGCAACATAGCTTTCTGCCACAGATGTTCCCAAAAAGGTGTATTAGAGGTATATTCCAAAATCTGGAGTCACACTGATAATAAGAGATTCTTACACATCACTCAACACTCCTACCTTTCTGTTTCAGCTGCAGGGCCTTTCCTAGCTTGTTTTTGGCTGCTATATCTTTCCACTTTTCTGGACTGCCTGCGAAATGACATGTCAGAAAAGAAATAAACAAAGAAGAAAAAGAATACAGAAATATGAAGATTATTTATTCATGTATTATAAAGGTAATAAAAGAAACAGTTGACAGATGAGAAAGTGACAACTATCATCATAAACAGGCTGGTGAAGTCGAGGTTTAAGAGACATTGCATTAATTAGGTTTGATTGAGGCTCATGGTGTGCAGCTCATGAGGTACCAAAACAGGGAAGAAAACATCAATCCCGACTGAGCCTGCAACTCGTTTGCACTTCACAGCCTGCATTTTACTAGAAACAATGACTCCTCATAGCCCTGTAAGGCATCTCTTAACAGCATGAGAAACAAGTTCAGAGTAGACAGCAGGAAAAAAACCTTGCTGAAAGAAACAGAAAATATTATTTGAAGGTTTAAATCAATCTAAAAATTGCTTTTAAATCTAAATCTCAAAAGTAAAACAAATACTGCATGATATCAGATTTTTAAAAGGCTGTCACTATATTAATAAAAACTTGTTTTTACAAAAACCTCATTCTATTACCTTTTAAAGTTTTTAGAAACAGATTAAAAAAATTCAATTTTCTTCCTAGTCAATATAAATAAGTTAGAAATTATTTCACTCCTTCACTCCTTTCCTACACAAAGCTTTTGCAGAATTCATCTGACATTTGGATAATGAGGCACTAATTACCTCAGACAATCTAAGCACTCCCTTTGATATTAAATTATAACAATGAAGAGTAATTGCAGTCTACACATATAAGAACAAAGATAAAGCCATGTTTCATCATTATTACCTAGGACTATAAACATAATAAGTAAATCTCTGCAAGTCTTGTGTTCCAAAATTTTCTGTACTATCCACAGTAATGTTAGGATTTTCAAATTAGGACTACTACTTTAAACCTCAGAAAATCATCAATACGTATTATTTTTTCAGAGAAAAAAGTGCACACAGTGTTTCAGGAGTGGTAGAAGCAGGGAGTGATGATTATTCAATCCTAGACCAGAAATGCTGACAAACTAATACATGCAAGTTCTTGCAATGATACAATCAATGTCATATATCAGGCTATATAAATTACTGTGGGCAAAACAGACAAAAATAACATTTAAAATAGCATGTTTTCCTTTTAAAGCTTTGTGGTTATAAAGAGTAATCCAGTGCCTGCACTGGAGGAGACCTAAACAGCTGGGACACCAAACTATGCCCAAAGAACATAATCATAGTTGTTTTTCATTATTTTTACCCACTGCAGTATTTGATGAGCATTTTATTGTCATGCAGTAGATTCTACAAAAGAGAAAACATTGCATCAAAATACAAAATACTTTCTGCATGAGCAGAGGTCATAACCTGATGCTTTCAGGATTTTAAAAAATGTATTTTCTCACAAAAAATAGTATGTAAGATTAGAAACAGAAATCCCTTTTGTCCTCAATTTATTTTATTTTTGTATATTTTCATTGTTTTTCAATTTTTTCCTTTACCAGGACAAATATAAAGTGGATACAGAGGAAAACACACATATTAAATGCTGCAGCTTTACTTAAAACTTACAGTTAGCAAAGTTTTTAAAGTTATGGCTATATCCACTGTATGCAGCAGCATTACCATTCAAATTATGTCAGCCTCTTCATTTTCTGTTTAGTTGGTTCTGTCTGGGGCTTATTTTTCTCTTGCTCCTTATGTTGCTTGCCTCGATTGTGACATTGCACACAATGGAGAAAGAGAGCTCACAATGAGTGGTTTCAGTGGGATGTGCTTTGCTGTGATAGGTAACACAGCAATACACAGCACTAATGGGCTGAGAAAACTTATTTCTCTGCTCTCAGGGCTGTCTTGAGAGCAGCACACACTAGAAATTAGTGAAAATCAGTTTCCTTTTTGGTTCTTCCTTCTGGCTAAGATGATGCTGTATACATTTCCAATTAGCTCAACATGCTCTGACTTACTTCCTAAACATACTTCATAGGAGAAAAAAAAAATATTATCCACTCATGATACATGCACATATGTACTAGTACATAAAACAGGGAAAAAAAATAAAAAGAAATGTGTGAAAGTATGTAGAGCACATGAAGAATATACTATAACCAATACCTCGTTTACTTTGATCTATGATTTGAGTAAATAAGGATACCTCTGTGCTGCTCCAGGTTTAGCACTTAGGTGGTCTACACTGTCCTGTTTTGGAATGCAAGACTCCAGGGTCCTTGTTCTTCACAATATTTGGAAACATGGATGTGAATTTGGACGGAATGAGCAGAAACAGAGATGGTCACATGCAGTGAAGGTGGAGACATGCAGGCAAATATATAAACAAAAAGCATTAAGTCACTATCTACTGAAAAAAGCTGTATTTCTCATTTTCCTATTCCAAACACTATAAAATTTTAGATGTGAGATCAACAGTCTAAGATGTAAAGATGTACAGAATGAAAGCCACAACAGTATTTTTAAAAACCATTATGCTCTACATGCTGAATGGCAGTGCTGTTTTTTAATTTAAGGCACAATTATACTTCTTGAGAATATATAAACAAATAAAAAACGTCTTTGCTCAAGAAAATACATATTTTGTCATTAAATTCTCCCGAAAATGCAAGTAAATTTCCTAATTTCATGCATTTTGATGAAACCTTCATGTTCCATTGCCACACAGTCTGCTACAGTAACAATTTTCAGTAATTCAAGAGTGAAGTAGAATAACTGACTCAGATTTTTTTAAAAACTGAAAGTATATAAGAATATCTCTGAATTTCTATGGAATTTTAATTTCTGCTGAAGCTGAAGAATTTCTTCACAGCTTTCAATCTGGAAAAAATATTATTATCTTGTTGGTTTATTATTAGTTTTTAATGAAATATATGACAAGATCCATGAATGGAATTTTTTTTTTTTCAAATATCAAATTTGAATTTTAATGAGAAAACTCAGCAAAATTTGTGGTCCACTAATAACCTAAGTTTTGTAATATATCTGCATCTATACCCAGTAGGGTCAGGAATGGCTAAAATTTCTCCCGAAGATCATAAATCTTCCAACTGTCCCACCAAATCATTGAACAATATACATCATATTTAGGCAAACACTACATATTGTTTTATATACAGACAAGCTATTTACAGTTCATGTTCCAAAATTCTATGTGCCTCAGTATATTTAACTGTGTCAACAAATCTACACACAGAAATTTGATAATATGCCTACAGAAATTAAAAATTACTACTTCTGAAATGAAAACATAACATTGCTATACAATTCAGTGTCCAGTATTTTTAAATTATTTCTTACTGTCCTGTAAAGGAGCCCTGAGTGGTTTGCAGTGAGTGTTACTTTATGTGGCCACCAGGAATGTCATGTTCAACACTTCCTGACTTTTACTGAAGTTTTCCTAAAGGCTGGATCTGCATGGTACCTGCAAGTACCAGAGGGCACTTGCTCTGCAGCTGGCTTCAGGTGACTCTGGGACAAGCATTCTTACACATGCATGCATGAGTGACTGACAGAAGCTACTTCTCTTAAATGAAAATATATGAGAATTCCTTTTTTTAAAGGCTTATTTTATCCAGTCTTGGTTATATGCTGATATTATATGCAGATTTTTCCAAATGAACAATCTGAAAAAAAAAATTCACCTACCATTAAATACTCAGCTTTCATTCACCTTGTTTTTATCATCACTTAAATTTCACAGATCTCCAGATACCCATCTCTCTACACTGTAGACATTAGACATTTAGACTTCCTAATTTCTAATAAAAAACAAAAAAAACTTTCAAGGAATTATGCTATGAAATCCAACAGAAAAACTATCCTTCAAAATATCTTATAGAAATAAATGACACCAAACATTTCCAAATTTTTAACACTGAAATAATACTTAACTCATGTCTTCTCATCAACGTATCAAGGAGACACTTCCTGATATGGCAAGTGAGCAAATTCCAGAAGAACAATCTTGCCAAAAATTTTATCAAAACTTATATTAATAACCATTAGAAATAAATACAATGTTGAAAAAAAATAATTTGTCAAAATTAGAAATAATGCATAAGTCATGGATTTAAGAAATGTATTCATAAATAGATCTTGATTCCACTCTAAGTGCAAACTGGACCCATTTGCAACATAAATCTGGAAGGTACTCAAATGAAGATTAAGATGAAGTATGTCAAAGTCAATTAATCTGTGAAATATAATTCAAAGCTGCCATAAGCAGTTGGTTTGTTATGCCTGCTGATCCATCAGTCATTCCCTAACAGCCACTACACTGGAGTTGTCAAATTGATACAAGCATATCTTGAAAAAACTTTAATTATCAAACTGAGCAGTATTGGCCCACTGCAATAACTATGTGAATTAATCAGAACAAATGTAAACTTAGAGTAGAGAACAAAGGTAAAGCACCTTTGATTGCTTCACTGATGTTCTCTCTATAGATATGCAAAAAACTCAATGTTCTCAGAACTTCTCCTAATATTGGAGAAAATCCTAGAACTCATAGACTGCAAACACTCATCAGCATTGAGGTTAGCTTTAATTCCTTCTGTGCTCATCATCATTGGGTTTTGGTGACCAGATTGCATGCAAGACTTACAAACACAGGTAGGCACTGATTTCACATAGAAAATCAGACTCCTGTTTATCCATCTCAAAAACCTTGCCATTACAGATTCCATATCCTACAGATGTTTCATTGTAAAATATTTGCTAGTGGGCATTAGATGATTTCAGCCTTTCTCCACAAAATTTCAGCTGATGTAAAAAGGCTTACCATTTGGCATTGAGAATGGAAGTATTTAGAGGAAAACCTTATTTCACTGATTTTTTTCAAGTCTGATACCCTGAAGTCAAAGGCAATCTTTCAATTGACTCAAAAAATGAGAACCAAATTTACTTAAAAATGCCTAAAAGACATATAGTACATTTCTAAACTCTTAGTAGCTGTCCCATCAAAGGGATGTGTTGCAAAATTTCTGGAAATGCGGTATCTGTAAGGGAGGATTCTGGAAATGCAGTATCTGTAAGGGAGGACAGCTTAGAAATGATGTTTCACTACTTTAAGTCTGTAATTTATAATGCTGTTTAACTCCAATTAAAAAAAGAAAATACTACCCACACACAGTTACACTCTTCCCACCTGGTCTGAGTGGAATATTTCCAGTATCAAGTAAACAAGATAAATCACAGTAAAAATGTCAGTACTGTGGGTAGACTTTAGCAGAAGGTTAGGACTGGCACCACTGGTATTTCAGTCTTACAGTTTTGAATGCAACTTCATAAGTTCATGTAAAGATTATTTACATTAATCTGTATTTACATTAATCTGTGTCCTGTCAGTTACTGTAATACAAAATACTGAAAGAAAAATTTTGAAATTGCACTTAAATATAAATTACAATTTCTGCTTAAAATACCTATCTGGAAATAAAATAACAAAGAAAAAATTACTGCTGCCAAAGCAATGGGATACCAAAACTCATGTGATTAGAAAGCTTGTGAGAAGTAAAAAAATAAAGGTGCTTCTATTAATCATAGATGATAATCAGCATAAAAATTTACTTAGAGCCCTGATGTTCTTAATCAAAACCTACCTTATTAGGAAAACCTGCTCCATGGAGGCCATCCTGATTTGGACAAAATTTACAAACAGTGCCAATTTTTACATACATCAACTACAAAGTGTTAACAAGACCTCCAGCATATCAGCCTGTGGGGTTTTTTCCCATTAGGAACAGTTCGTTGAAAAAAGGAAAACCAAAACCAATGAAAAACAAACATATACACAAGAATATGCTCTACAACAAGTATTTATCACATTATAAAGCACCACAGTGAAAGCACCAGCACCATTTACAGAAGCAGGTAAAGACAGACAAAAGAACATTAACACAGATGATGTTCTCTTGTACCAGACATCATATTTTGTGCCTTGTGACTATTCAGACAACAGAAAACTTGAAAAGATTCATTCTTCTGTGCTTTATAACAGCTCAACAAAATGCAGAGATGATACCTAAACTGCTGTTTCATTTTGGGCTGCTGGAGATTGCAAGTCTCCACACAAATGCACACCTCTAAATTTCAGTGTACTCCTCTGAGAGTGCAAGATGCAGTAAGGCATTTTTCAGCTGGGAGGAGCTGACTAGTACCTGTCATCCTCCGGAGATGCATGCTGGATATGAATCCTGGGACTAGTAGGTCGTCTCCTCTCTAGGGAGGGGGACCATCTACCCCTGTTTGCCCGTTCAATAAAACAGGAAAAAAATACGGTATTTAGTTTGTGGTAAAATTAAATAGATGGGATTTCGGACTGGAAAAATACCCCAAAAAAGTAATGAAAGTGAGTAATTTAATTATTTTTTCTAACAGCTTTCTAATACCCAAGTATACTTTAATTAAGGCTGCTTAATGCAAAAACATCACATCTGAAATGAAAAGAAGGTGTGCCCAAAGATGCAGAATTTAGACCAATATAAATCTTCTATACGGTGTACCATTAAGTTTTTTAAGTTTCCAAATATTCTCAAATGCTTGACTACCTAAAAGCCTGTCATTTGTGTAGGAAGCTGGAATTCCAAATTAGAAAAGACTTTTAAGACTTTATGATGATCATTATCTTGGTATTTTGCTAATCCCATCTCTCCTAGCTATTTACACAGAAAAATGTAATCTCAGTAAAAATGTAGGACTTTTAATTATGATAAAAGTTCTAGGGCATAAAGTCACCCTTTTCTGGAATGCAGTGAAAGAATACAAGTAAATTATTCAACTAAAACTAAGCTACACATATTTGTGTGCAATTACTGGAGTAATTTTTTATCATTTGAAAACATATCCTAAAAGCGTGTGCAGCCAGCTTCCTCTACTATTCATTTCTCTTTATCTCTGCAGTACATGTAAGGACATTATGTAACACAACTAATGTCAACAAAAAGGACCTGAATTGAGAATGAAAACTGGTGTATTATGAGATTTTTTTCCTTAAAAATCTAATTCAATTCAGAATTATAAATACTATAATATAGACTCATGCTTATTTTTTTGGGATGTCATTTGTTTGTAATGCAACAATTGAATGCATAATGATTTACAATACCAAAACAAACTGATTTATTGACAAATATGTTTGCATAAACTCAGCACAAGTATCGAATATTTCCCTTTCTGAGGCATTCTTCCAGTCCATGTAATAAAGAAAAGGGTTTGATTTATGGAACATGCAAATAACAAAGGTTTTAGGGACATGAGCATTATTTGAACAGTTAGGTAGGTCTTTCAGATGTTTCAAGAGCAAATAAGTTGTTAGTAGTTAGCTTCTTTTTCTCTCCAAAGCAAGAGTTAAAGAAAATGTTAATGCATCAGTGCACTCAGTCAAAGCCCTTAATATGCTGATATCCACTACAGATATTAAAGAGCATTTGAAAGAATTAACTAGGTAATTCAGTAGGAATTTTCAGAACATGGTTCTCTCATTGAATGCCGAATGACTGTGAGCCACAGTACAACACCAAGATGTAACTACCTACTTCTGTACATGCTTGGAAAGAGCCAGAGAGACAGTATGGCACAGACCTAATGCAAACAGTTATTTCACTGCACATAATTTTAAATGGAAATGGGGGTATTTGACATAACTGTTAAGGGCATGCAATATAAAAATCAACATGAATTCAGGACAAGCTTTAATTGGATCAACCTCCCTGGCACCTGTTCATGATAAGGTAGCAGGTAACTGCTGATCTTTGTCTCTTGTTTAGCTAGTAGTGGCCAGCTGATGGCAAACATCCTGTTTTGATTCCCACTGCAGTGAAGCACCTCAGAACAAATCTAACACAGCTGTGGGGCTGTAGTTTGCAGGTTTGCTGACCCTTGTACATGACCAAATCCCTGGGCTGTGCTCCTCAGTTTTATTTGCTCAGACCTCCACTAAGTGATGTCTCAGGCCAAAAGCCAATACTAGAAGTACAAATCAGTGCAACTGTTCTTGTGCTAACACACATATAAGTGCTTGCAACAGCAGAAATTTAGAGGGTAAATAATAGCCACACTACATATTATTAACTATCACTGACTGCAATCTTAAATCAGTCTGGGGAACACGCTATTATGATAAGAAACCATTCCTAAATCAGTTCAGAGTCTGCCCTTGAACCTCATGTCTAGGTGTTTTCCTGAGCAGAGATTGGGTGTTGAAAAGAAATTTCTCCATTCTAAAGAAATAGCACCCAATTTACAAGGAAAGAAGCAGAAATTTAGAGACACAGTGAAAAGGATAAAAATGAAAAAACCCAGAGCATAATGAAGCAGTAGCAGGAAAAACACTTTCAATGGCAATAGAGAACATTTTATAAACTTAAAGATGCCTTGCAGATCATCAAAGGAACTTCAACCACGGAAACACTTTGGAAAAAAAAAAACCAAATTAACAAAACTGCTTGGAATAAGTAGAGGGTAGATGGTGGGAAGAGGAAAAAAAAAGGCAGGTATGGTGCAACTGCATAGAGGTATTAGAAGGGGATCGATATTTTTGAATGTCCTAGAGTGTACTGTGCAAAAGAGAAGTAAATGAAGAATTAAACTTTGTACAAAATCAGTACATATAACAAAAAATTTTAGCATGCCTGTGTCAAGGCAAGGTCAGTTTGTCAATCAAGTGATATGGACTTGGTCAAATGATGGAACTTATAGGAGGAGAAAAGTTCGGTCCTCACTGTTTTTTTTGGTTTTGCTATACTGAAACTAACTAGACTTTCATATCACAAATTCATATATAGAGCTGAAAGTAGTTTTCTGCTGGTATAAGCAAGTCAACAGACTGACTTTTACTGGCAAGGCAGTGTCTTAAAAACCAGTAACTACTCTGACCATTCCAAATGACATAAATGACATTGTATAAAATTCAAGGATCAAAACTGTTTCCATCAAATCAGTGACAGAGACAAATAGAGCTCTACTGTCCATCTGTTATAACACTACCATTTTGTTAAAATGTGGTTTATTTTAGCTCTTGTTCTCAAATATAATCTAATTCATACCCTCTGAGTCAAAAGGTGAGGGGGAGTAAGTAGAATTTTCCATAGGTAAGTATATTCCTAATTTTCCACAGGTAAGTATATTCCTAATTTTGTTAAATATACAAAGGTGTATTTAGAATTCTGTATTTAGAGGCATAAATTTCTAGACTTTTAAATAATACCTGCAATGCTGTCATTCCGGGAGGGGAGAAGGGAGAAAAAACAACAGGAAAACAAGTAACATCTTCAACATGAGTCTCTCAAATATACTGAGAAAGGGCTGTAGATTGGACTTCACAAAACCTTAGAGTGCTTCTCTTTGATGGATCAATTCTAGATCTGACAAGTGTCTCATCTCCTCTAAGTCTCCAGTAATGAAACAACCTTTTCCATATTGTCTATTACATTGTAATTTGAATTTTGTTTAGTGTTTCACTACAGTTACTTTCAGAAGATATTTCCTACCGCTTAAGGTGAACTTGTCTTACAGTATTTTAAATCTTTCGTTCTCATCTTGTCCAGCACAGAACCAAAATGCTTTCTACAGACCCTGAACTTAATTCTGTGTTCCTCAGACTAAAGACTCCTCTATCATCACATGCAACTGATGACTAACTTCATGTTCAAGTGTAAGCAGATTCCACATTCAACAGAGGAGAATTAAATCATCTAAAATTTATGTTCCCCAAAAAAAAAATATTAATTTGGTGGGGTTTATACATTAAATATAATATGTTCCTCCAAAATTTGGGCTGCATAAGAAAATCTTCTATGTCACAAGAAAGGAAAAAAAAATCCTCTGCCAAAGCCACACATACCTTATTATTTTCAATGAAATTATCCAGAAGAAATTGAATATCAATTTCCTTAACAAGAACTTTTCTGCTCTATGAAGGATACCAAGTCAAAACCTCCTATTTACGACTGCTAAAAGCTAAGAAAAACTTTCACAGTGATGGGCAATTTTTTTCTGGATCAGACCCACTGGTGATTAGGCAAAACCACATGTTTAGTAGCAACAGAGGCCACTAATACAGACTAAACACTTTCCTTTATATACATCCTTCTGCTCACGCAAAATAATGCAGATTCTGCGCAGTGCCCTGTGGACAGAGGTGGACATGAATTCCAAAGGCATAACAGAACTACTTCACATCAGGACAGATGTAGTTTTGAGTATAAAATTTTTACTAGACAGTTTATAATTACCAGTTAATGTTTCATTGAATATTCAACTTGATGGGCGGCATCTTGAAGTAAGTACAGAACACACTGCTCACATTTATATGCAATTACATTAAGTAACTGCTTTTAGATGAAGGCAGCTGTATGCATGTAGACACTTAGTAATTAATGTGATGCTACAATATTTTTAATAATATCTAGAAAAATATCTGTATTTCATTCTGATTGACTCTGTATGTTTTTAATTGTTTTTTTAACAACCACGTTCATATTTTCCGTAATGTCTTGAGCTCAGACTTAAAAAGGAATAAACTACTGTAGATCCATCAGGGACACCTCAGGAGAACATTAGTCCCTTCTCTGCAACATGAGCATAACTTTAGAAAAAGCACAGTTCCAACCAAGGAGCAGCAGGAAGTAAGGAGAAAGGAAAGGGAAATTTTAAACAAAAAACTCAGGTGAAACCCTATCTTAAAGAGGAAAGTGCCTTCTTAGTGCCTTTTTGATGCATCCTGCCCCACAATAAAGAAAATAACATAACTGTTACAAACACCACACTGTGTATTGACTAAAAAAGCACTATTAACTTCCATACTAGTTAAACATGTACTGGACAGACTAAAATATAATTCTGTCCTATTCCCATGCAAAGGGAGCCTATTATTGCCCTTAGTGAGCCTAAAATCTCACTCTGAAGTGGTATAATTCTTAACCAAAAACATGGATAGTGATGAAAAGTTCTCTTGTGGAATCACCTTTTTAACACCACTTGTATTTGATTCACCTAAAATTTTGAATCAAGCTATTGTAATTGTGAAAGTACAGAAAGCATCCATAACATGCCTGCACAATGTATATGACAAAATAATATTTCATTTAAATAGCAAACATGTCTTAAGACTCATGTGAACCTTAATATAATATCAGAGCAAAAAAAACCTTAATGCAGTTATCCACCTTGCAAAAGCAGATGCACCAGGTTAAAGAAAGCAATGATGTTATGCTGTTCTGTAAGAAATATATCAGTATTGATACAGTTCTGGTTTGAAATGTGAAAGTTTTGTTGTATTTTCTAATTTAGGCCACTGCTTTATTAGCAGTCCACAGAACAAGCAAAAACAGATGTAATGCTTTTTAGCAAATGATGATGAAGAATCACAACCAAGTGGTAGTTTCAAAATACTTAACACTGCAATGCTATTATCAGCATACTGAGGACTTTTGTAAACAATGAACATCAGCTTGAGCTAAAACAAAGGAAGTAGCTGGAAGCGGTCATAAACTCCAACACACAATTTACATGACATACATGAATACAGGAGCAAAAATGTCTACAAATACCAAAGCAGACAAGAAATGTACAAGAATGTGGAATAGTCATATGAAGAAAAACAAAACTTATAAAGATCACCAGCACAGATGACAAGAAATTCATAAGTTTTTATTTTATACCTTTCTCGTTCTGGTGAATGCAAACTAGTATCTGGTCTCAAGCAGTTGGTACTAGCACTCCTAGCCCTGTCAAGGGAGGGCTGCAGTTCACTAGTGCCAGTGCATTGCATCCAATGGTAGAAGAGAAAGAAAAAGAAAACAAAGAAAGGAATACAATGTTAGATATTAACTCATAAAATAATGCTCTCTTTACAGAAAATGTAGAATCACAATGATTTAATTAAGGAAAACGTAAAAGGGTTGACTGGATGATTGTGTCAAGATTTGTTCAGAAAATAAAAGCAAACAAAAGGTTGCGAGAAATTTTTTGCAAATATCATTGAAATGTTTAAAACTGAATGAGACAGAACAGCATCCACTTGTAAGAAAAGTGGAATGAGAAATATCAAACAATAAAGTTATATCCTTATTAACAGCAATAAGTCTTAAGCCAACACAAAATAATGTGATCCACTATATGTCATGTGAAATCCCTTTACAGTGAAGCTCATTTATTCTGCCAAATCCATATTAGATACCAAACAAGTGGGGGGATTAATCCTCAGTGTCTTACCTAACCAGTAGATCATCTCCAAATTTCGATATTCGTAAATTAAGGCAATCATGAAGGAGTGAAATATCCTGTCTAATCACGGGTTTGGTCTTAGCACATGCAGGAAGAGTTGAGCTTTGTAAATTAAAATTATTTAAACAAAATGAAAATAAATTTAACATGTAACAGAAATCTCATACATAAACAAAAGAATGTAATAGAGAAAAAACATGCAACATATAATTTTAACAGTGAAGACAAGTCCAACTATTACAAAGTAGTTTGGTTTAGGTTTTTTTTGTAACATAGGTGTTAATTTAAATAACTAAATGAAGTTTTTTTAGGATTTTATCCCTTATCTCTTAATCACAAAAATGCAGGAAACATTTTGTTATTTTTTCTTTAACAAGGGAAGTCTATTTATTTTTTTAAAGAGAAGCTAACTACTTAAAGGGCACTCTAAACACTTCTTACCTGTATAGGTTCCAATGAGTACCATTTTCTAGTAAAGGCATCTTGGGTGGTAATGTTTTATAGTGCCTAACAGGACTTCTGAAATGTGGTGGGTCAGAAAAGAACAAAGGACAACAGAAAAAAATGCCAGAAATAAAAAGACAGGTAAAGGCAAGCCAAGAGTGACCAGAACATGAAATAAATGCATAATATTCTATTATATTGTATAGCTGTAGGAGTAGATATCTCATCTATGTTTTTCTGAAGTACTGTGACAGCTATCTGGGGGGAAAAATTTTGTATTAACCCTTTTCTTAATAAAGTGCAAGAACTTATGTCAATACTAGTACAGCTCAGATGTTTTCTTGAAATGGAAGTAGTATATATTCCATGTTTAGATACTTTAAATTAAAATATGCAGACTGTATTAAGTTTATATTAAATTACTTTTTATTTCTCTTAGTGATGCCTTACTTAGACCTGCAGAAATTTTTACCTCTTCAGTAGTTAAGCATGAAAGTCTCACTAAAACAGGGATATATAGTATCAAAAATTTAATTACAGATTAGCAGCTGAATTTTTTGAATGTGGAAGTCTTTTTAAAGTGGCGTATCAGCTTCAAAATTTACCAGTAATTAAATGTTATTAATTATAAGATAATTAAAAAATTTAAGAGAAGTACTGCATCAGCCAACGCAGCAGCACTGTGTCACTTGACAACTGTCTAATATCATCATAGATTTTAGAGAAGGAAATGTTTATCAGCCAGCTCTTCCCATTGAACAAGAGAGAAATTTAAAGGCAGACAGTGGCTGCTGAATGAGAATTATGGCCATTTAATGGCTAAGGGTTAGTAACAACATTCTAACAATTTTCCATATACCCTACTAGGGCACAACTATGGAACTACTAGGAGAAGAACCAGCAGGCTTGAGGATTTTGCAGCAGTCTGTCCTGACAAGACATTTCATTCCTGTTAAGCCTTGGGCCAAAGCACAGCAGATCAACATTAGAAACCTGGCTGTGTCACAGACAGATGAATCAACTCTCTGCCTGGAAACATCAGTGTTTGTAAAACCCTAAAGGATTTAAGGAGCTTTGACTCTTCTTGTATGGGTTTAGTGGTCACCCCTGGTGAATTCTCTATCAGAGGTCACTGTAACATTGCACAGGAGGAAAAAAGGAATGGCTGCCATCAGGCCAATCCTGGCACATGGGCAGATGTTACCAATAAAAGTAGGGGTGATCTAAAACATGGAATGTGGCAACTCATGATCTATAGCATAGGTACACAGCTTTCCACCATTTCTAGTAGTTAATAATTGCATACAGAGCAACAGGATGGATAGCTAGGACTAGTATTCCAAACTGGTATTCCATTAAACTCACCATATATCTTAACTCTGTAGCTTGGACTACCTAATTTCTTTCATTTAACATGAAGCCATTAACATTTCTTTCCCATTTTAATCTGAAGCTGTCTCAAGGCTAATTAAACCATTGTTCAGCAAGCTGCCTAGAAAACAAGGATAAAGCCTTATAAAATTTCTAACATGAATAAATGTCAGGTCACTAGAAATAAGAAAGGACAGAAGATGGCATAGAACAAATTTTTGCTGAAACTGTTTTCAAAACTATTCTTTCAAGAATGTGTATTGGCAGTTTAGTTGGAATTGGGGTGTATAAGCCTCAGAGTTAAATTTAGAAGAATTAATCTATTGTCATCTATCACTTTTCTATTCATCTTCGATACATTATTTTAAGCATCATCCTCGTTTACAGTATACCACTACTATTACTTTTAAAGGGTGATTTTTGGTGTTTTTTGATCACAAAAATACTGTAGCAATAAATGGAATAAAGAAAAAAGAAAGGAAGTGCTGTAGGCTCTGAATTCAGTGTAGCTATTACCTAACTCTATTGCTGTCCTTACAAAAAGGACACAACTTAGAAAAAATTGTGCAGAACTTTTTGCTGTGACCAGACTGGTTTGGTAGATTTGTAAAGCTATTGGAAAGCTAATGGCTGGGCAAAGACATAAAATAACAAGAAGTTAAATAAATTAATAAATTCTAAAATTAAAATCTTGATGAAAAAGTCTTTTTAGCCGAAGTACAAGAATGAGAATATTTCTACTGATAATATTTCTACTGATAACAAAAACTTAATTTAACAGCTTCACTAATGCAGTTTTTTTTGAAAGCTTACATATTTATTTACTATTTTTTATACTACTTGGCTTTATAACAAAACCATATCACAGCATCTTCAATACTGCTTCAAATTTGATAATGAGAATTAAAGCAATCCAAGACATTTAAAAAATAAACAGTACTTTGTAAGAGAAAATCCTAAACCAAATAAAAGAATAATAGCACTAGACAACATAGTTTAACATTTGGTGATTTTAAACATTTAGCACTGGCACAAAACTCTCATCAACACCCAGATCCTGAGGGGACAAAGGATAAATAACCACCTGGTTGACTTAGTTAAATGGTTAACTACTTTAACTTCAACCTACATTTTTATTTATGGTAAATGAAAGATGTTCTACACAATGTCATGGGTTTTTAACACAGTTGACAGACATGGTGGTAAAAAAGGTGGGGGAGCAGACTTTGATTTTTTAGATAAAGATATTTCAGTCCTGTTTAGTTTCACAACTCTGGAAAGTGGTAAGACAGGGAGCTCCTGGCTTTGAAACAAGAGATTAAAGAAGACTGAAGATGGGCCCAAACTACAAAGTTTACATGTGGATCCAATTTATAGAACAATTTTTAGATGCAAAAACAAGTGATACAAAACCCCTCAAATCTAGGACTTCCAGTAAGCCCTTGTACAATGGGATTTATTCCTCTGCAGGTGACTAAATCAGCATGAGATCAGGTGTCACAACAAGCAAAGATTGTTTAATTGTGCATGGCTGTTATATAAACATAAAAATGCAAATAAAAAAAAACAAAACCAACTGAAAAACCAATGTTTGAAATTATTACAATGCTCATACATTGGGAGATCAGGACTTTTGTGACTAGACAGAAAATCTACCAGAAAATACAACTGCAAAACCAAAGTTTCTTCAACTACTTTAGTCCTTACTACTGAGGTTCAAAAACAGATACACACATCTGAATCTAAATTAAAACAAACAAAAAAAGAACGACTGACATCTGGATCACAATGTACTGGGAAGTTCTTTATGTACTGGGACTAAATACACCATGGAGGAAACACTGGGCACACAAAGTGGGCAGAACTAAGCAGGTGTGTTTGTGATTCCCACACTCCTGTATTTACCTGATGGTGTGTAGGCACTCTGCACTTCTTCCTCGCTTTGCTCTGGGCAGCATAAGAAGCTCACTGCACAGACAGGATGGGTGGTGAGTGAAACAGATATAGTTATGAAGCATTAGATGACATGGGTTATGCCAATGATAAGCAAATGAAAACATCAAAAGAAATGAGAAGCATTCACCCAGATAGATAGTCTGATAAGACTGCATGTCTCAAAATATGAGTCAAAAAATGCATGTAATAACTCATTTTCAACAAGCTCATTTTAGTGTGGCACCTCCTTCTGTGATATTTTTCTTTTAAATTCAGAATTACTTTTTCAGAGCTCTTCATGATGAAACAACATAAAATGGCTACAGTTTTCTAATAACCTCCTGTCTCATGAACTAATTAATGGAGAACTGCTTTAGGAAAAAAAAGAAAGATGTCTGTTGTTTGCTTTGTGTTGGGTTTTGTGGCTTCCTAAGCTACAAAATCATATAGGTAAAAGCAGTGAAGGTTTGATAATGACATAATGCAGGTTGGTTTATGGGAAGAATAACCAGTCACCCTTTAGGGAAAATCAAAAATATATGTTCATTTGAAATATTGTGTTGGGCCAAACAGAAATTCTGATTCATAGCTCTTAAAAGGTTTTTGTAATGATAATCCTAAAGAAACAAATAAAAAAAACTAATCAGCCATCAGACTTTTTTTTCTTATTCTCTCAAATTGAGGAAAATCAGCTATCTATTGTATTTTAATTATATTGTAAGCAAACATATACTATAGCCAGCAAGATGGTAAAATTAATGCATATTTATGCCTATGGTAAATATGACTATGATATGAAATATTCCTTGAATAAGCCTGTAGTTTTATGCACTTCAACACAATCAGAAAGAGCAAGCTCCAAAACTCCTATCATTGTAAATATGAAATTAAAGGTAAGCTTCATGGAAACATGCTAATTTTAAAAGAAGCAGGGAATCCCATGAAGTACTATGGCAAAAAAAAAAAAAGAGAGAAAATATTACAAGACAGATAAAGTAGCAGTTGTTCAATGTGTTTCACACTTCATGTCATTACAAAATGATGCATTTCATTGATACACTACAGGCATTATTTACCTAAAATTCTAAACAGGGCAGACTGAAATAATGGCTTGTGACTCATGTAAGATTTAATTACATCTGGAGCTGCTAGCTTGATGCAACAATATAAACTAGGGTTGAATTGAATTTTTAAATTTTCTTTCTAAGCCAAATTTCTATTCATAAACTCAGACAGAATTTATATGCATCTTTCCAGATTAAAAACTATGGATTTTAGGAAAAAAAGTTACTATTTTATTTAGAGTTGCAAAGTAGATGCACAGTCCACATTAAATCATAGGGTACTTTGTTAATATTTACCTTTCCTAAGCCAAAGAGTATCTATTGTAATTGGCCCAAAGCAAACACTGATAAAAAAGTCATCCTGAAAAGTGATATAAAATAACAAATTCACCATGAAATTTTCTAGTTAAAAAAAAAAGTAAAAGAATCCATCAAGAAGATTACCAATATTGTGAGAATATGCAGTTCTCTGATAAATTAAGTCTGTTTTGGGAGACATTTAAAATAGAGATTACTATTCTTAAACAAATGTTTTCTACACTCATAATTAAGAGATTTTACTTAGGAATAAAAGAAACACAAAAAAAAAGTGTCATGCTTTTGAAAATTGAATAATGGTTTCCTAATAAAAGGCTTTTCCTAAAAGTTTATATATATTCATATATATATATATATGTATGTATATATGTATATAAATATATATAACACTGCTGAAGTGGACAAATAAGTTCCACTGGAAACTTATTGCAACAGATGCTTCTGTAACAGAGTGGTAGTACCTATTTTTACAAAGACCTATATTATGATTTAATATTGATTTTGAACCATTAACAGATAATTGAGAAAATTTTTGAAACAAATCAGCAGCTGTAATCTCTGGCATGCAGTTATTGGGTATTTCCTCAGCTTTCAAGTCAAGTTTACATTAGATATCTATGTGAATGTACTTGTTTAGGTGAAGGGTTTAGTATGCACAACACATAATATCTACACTACTCTTGATACTGATCCATAATATTTAATGATGTTGGGTTTTTTAATTCTTGGATGTGACAGAGGATCTTTCTTAACAAAATCTGGTTCGAATCTTTCATATGATGCTATTCTTTTGTACTGAAAGCTGGCAAAACCAGCCAGAACTAAACAGACTTCACAACTGATGAAATCTGGAGGAAAAGATGAAAAGGAAAATGGGGAAAAGGAGACCACTGCATACAAGATTATTATTCAAGAACACAAGTACATGGACCCATCTTTAAATCCTGCAAATAAGCCACGTACATCCTTCATGTCTGACTTTTAAACTTCCAAAAAAGTTTTGTGAACACTGAAAAGAATTGAAGACTCTAAACAAATCCAGAAGCCCATTGCTCATCCCCAAGAAAGGCTCAGGGTAAACCCAGCTCCTCTCCAGCCATAATCCATGGATATATCACCAGTTATGTCCAGGTTTGAGGCTTTACTAAAAGAGAAATTTCTAGACAGCTGTCTATATTTATACTGACAAAAGCTACTTTTTAAAGCCTTTTTCTCTTCCAATCTGATTAATAACAAATCAATGCAATCTCTTCAGAAGTCTTTTGAATATATCACTGCCCCCCCAAAAAAAAAACCAGAAAAAAACTGCAACAAGTGGACATTACTTGAATTAGCCTAACTATAAATCTGACTACTATACTTAAAAACAATTTTAATTCACCTCTGAAAGAAAATTCAGTGCAAAAATCCAACTTAGTCAATTCTGTACACACTTCTTGCCTATTTGAATTTTTAAATGTACCATATTACTCAATAGTTCCCACACCTATGTTACCATACTACAAAGGTAAAACAGGCAAGATCATATACAAAACTGAACTAGCTGAACTGCAAGAGTCATCTGTTATTCAGTCTTTGTATTGCTTCAAATCTGGCCAAAGATTTCCAGAGATTTTTATGGTTTAATGTTTACGTCTTTTCATGTCACTATGAAATGTATGTTCCATATGGAAATTACTGGATTATAGGGAAAGATTCTGTTACACTTAGTTCTAAAAGTAGTTACTTACTGCCAAGAAAAAAAAAATCAAAGACATTACTATGACATTTGATCCTATCTGAATGGTAAGTTTGCTACTAAAGTCTAGCTATACGATATTTTAAAGTAAACAACATCCCATAAAGATTGATAATCTGACTGTCATCATTATTTTTCACAACTGCTGAGCTGAAATAGCTTTCTAAGCTTTTTTTGCAGGTCTAAACTAAAAAGAAATTCTAATTTCTTCCATTTTATCAGAATACCTGAAAACAGTGCTTACGAGGGGAGGCCAAGCCTTCTTTGAGTGTAGACACTCCATGACAGGGAGAGATGTGTTTGTGTCACACATCTAAGACTGGAAATTTTTGCACCCTACAACTAGTACTGCAACTATCCTTACTATGCCTGGGTAATGTACAAAGTTCACCAGAATGTTACATAAGATGCTGGGAGACTGTACCCATAGGTGTCCAAAATTTATAAGCATATGAATTCAAATTAGCATGCCTCCAACTCCCAGCTAGGAGGAGTTAATGTCTGGCATTTACCAGCACAACTGGTAAATTCTGGTATTACAGGAAGGCCTAGAGCATACATGAAGATGCATGGCTTTCTAGCAAAAATCTCTGGGCTTCATTTGGGAAAAAGCAGTAGAATATCTAGGAAAGAGAGACAAGAATCATTTGTCTAGATACCTGCAATTACTGTCAACCCAGTACACAGTTTTACCAGAAGAAAGGCTATAGACAATTTAACAGCGGCACTAGATCCATCAGTTAGGATGAATTCTCTCCCTTCCCCATTGCTATTAGTCACATTTCTAATGAAAACTTGAAAATTAGGCAAACTGACAACATTTCTAAACTTTTATCCATGTTCAGGCTGACAATGTACCTTTCTTGATCAGACAAATACTGACTATCCATCTCTCTGGATCTGTAATCAACTGGAGTTCTGGAGGCATCATGGTGTCTAGTTGGAGAACGTGATCTTCTCATCTGATGAATTTCATCTAAACTCCTGAAAAGCAGAAGTATGTATGATAATCTTGTTTTCTCATTAATAACAATGGATCACAGTACAAGCTGGTTGAAGGAATTCTTTAATCATAAATTATTAATCCATGATTTCTGAAAGAATGCCATTAAAAATTATGCAATTTATACATGCCACTATTATCCTACAAATATTCTTAAGTAGCTTCAAAAAAGATTCTGCCACTGACTGAAAAAATTTCCAAACCTATGTATTAGTTATGGTACACAGATGATGAATCACAGAGAAGATATGAGTAAAAAGAGGTAAGTCTTACGAAGTTATGATTCATCCCATGACTGCTCTTGAGTGAATAATGAAAGCATATATCAAGTTCAAATACTGCACTAATAAATTAAGATAGAAAAACCAAGCTTTAAAATTGTGAAAAATTCCTGAACAAGAGAAAAGTTAACAATGACATAAACAATTATACAAACATGAAAGCACGTTGAGTTTCACTGGAGGTGCCTACCTCTGTAATGGCACATTTGGTAAACGTGAACGGGGCCTGCCCTGATCGTCACCACGGTGAGGAGACACGGAACGTGAACGATGATGCGTTGTTGTTCTCTGCTGCTCTGGCACAGTTAGCGTTGTGGATTTACTTTCTCTAGTACTAGACCTATAACCTACTGGCAAGAGGGTAACAAAAGGCAATTAGAAACTAATGGTCTGGCTTTAGAAAGAATTCAGATGACTAGACTTCCAGGAGCACGTATCCAAACGCTTACACAACTTTCAGGTCGTCACTCAGCTGTTGTACATCCCGATGTATCATGCAGAATAAATCACTAGCATTACCTTTAAATGTCTACACGTACAGAGACTGAAAAAATGAGACTTCTTGATGTACTGGAAGATGTGGAGCAGTTTTCTTACTTGGGGAAGAATATTTTGGGTATTTTGTGTATATAAAAAAATATTTGAAAGGAACCTAAACAGATCAGGTTTGCCTCAACTAAAAAATGGTTAAAAGTAGTTACTTACTGCCAAGAAAAAAAAATCAAAGACATTACTATGACAATTGATCTTATCTGAATGGCAAGTTTGCTATTAAAGTAAACAGCATTCCATAAAGATTGATAATCTATGTGACTGTCAGTGCCTACAACAGCATTGACTCACACAGGGCTGCTTATATATAAAGCATCTTTCTGCCTCTTATTTCCATTAGAGATATTCTCCTAATGAACTTGGCCAAAGACACCTACTTAAAAAAACTATTAGGATCTAGAGTATATTGTGCTGAATATTGGGTGTTGCATACTGTGCAGAATATTTTTTTCCAAATATTGTGATTAAGCAAAAAAAATTCACATAGTATTTTTAAACAGGATTAAAAAAACCCAGTGGAATGTTAGCACATTTTCAATATTTCAACATTGTTGTGACTTTTTCTATGTAGCACACTCTTAGCTTTGTTATACATTTGACTCCCTTCCTAAAACAGACAATAAAGCTTAATAAGATAACAGCTTTCAAAAGGTACCTGTTAATTTTCCAAAAGAACCTAAGGAGATCTGCTCAGACTTCACTTGCTCATTTCTAGACATTTAAATGAGATTACAAGAATCCCTTGACAGAAAATCCCTTAATGATACAGAAAGTCATCCCTTAAATCATCCTTTAATCACTTTACAAATTCTTGCTTAGTTATCCAAATAATAGTTTTTCTTCTCTGAATTTGTCTAGAATTAAAGTTACTGTAATGTGTGATTTTGTTCAGCTAAAAAAAAACCAGCTTCTATCAGAAATCCTCTTTTCATGCAGGAAAAGGCTATGATTTTGTCACCCAATTGTCAATTGGAGAAATTCAATAAATTAAATAAATTGCACTTCTTATGGATCTCACTACAGGGTTTTAACTTTGGGGTTTTTTTTCATATTTTATATTATTTGTATAATTCTTCTAGCTCTTCTCTGGTCTTCTACAAAATTACAAACAGTCCCTCTTTTAAAAGTGTGCCCTGTATGCAGAGTCTGCATGAGGCTTGATCATGCATTCAATGACATTTCATAACCTCTTTAGCTGCAGGTTTCAACCCTGGCCACAAACATCAAAGCAGCATTCACACTTTTTTCCCCAAATGTGTAAGAGTTTACCAATGCACCCTAATGGCCTCCAACAATTGACAACATGCATGAAACTATCTACTGGGGTTTGTCAACCTTTTAACAAAGTAGGACTCCAGTGTTCTGCAGGTTTTGGTATGTTGTGTTGCTGGAGTACCTTACCTGCCAAAAAAGTGTTTCAGAGTTCTGTAATAAAATTACAAAGAAACATGAGGATCTCCCTGATCTCAGGACAAGGATTGGGTGCAGATTGTGAAGCAAAAGGGGGACTCCCCCAGGACTTCAATGGAGATTCATGACCCAGGATTGCTGCAGAAATTGTCTAGGTCTTTTGTGAGAGGAAGAAAATATATAACAAAAGGTGGATGTGTTCCCTTTTCCTGGATAACTAAATCTAAGCTGCATTTGCAAAAAGATAATTAATTTTCCAAATAAGCTTGTGTTAGAAAAAATCCTGTCATCTCTATCAGTAGGAAGAGCAGTTTACATGTATTAAACACTAAAACCAAAGAAATCCTAAACATCTTTTCAATCTTTAAGCAATTCTACTAAAACACATACAACATAAGTTTAGAAAATGAAATATAGATTTAAATTTAAAATATATTTCTGGTCTCCCTAAAAAACTGCACATAGGATTCTCCTGTAGAAGTCTAGTATAGAAAGATGATTTTATGTTATATACTTTGCACAGCCAAGCTATCTCAGGAACAATACCTGAAATTTATGCAGTGTGTGCACACCAAGCTGACAGAACAGAGACAGTAATTCATACTTATCCCAAGTATTAATTCAAGAATTGTCAAACTGGTCACATCACACCCATACCTTCAGTGACCATGACAGTGACAGCAACAGTAACATTTCCTCATATCCTCAAATACAAACGCTCTGTGCTCTTCAGGGTGAGCAGAGAAAAATTTTGCATGGACCAGCAGGATAGCAGCAACCAAGCTGATGGTAATTTATGCAGAAGTTTCTCAGTTGCTCATGGGAAACTGTCAGGTGTGACAGGAAATGAATGCAGGATGGATGATGAAAATGGATCTAGCAAATGTTTGATACCTGAATTATATTATTTTTTCTTAAAGACAATACAGACAAGGAAAAGATAGTGTATTGATGTCACCCTGCTGCTACAGGAGGAAGGCAAATACATTTATACAGGTTACATGTGACAGAAAAATCAACTGCTCTGAAGAGTTACCCACAGAATAAACAATGCAGCTTGTTAAAAATACAACTGGGGATATTGCCAACTGTATATCAGCGCTTTTTTGTTTTGTTTTTAATTAAGGAAGTTACTAAGGCTTGGTTAAATAGATTGGTCTGAAAACATGTTCAGATTTTATTAAAACTTTCACTGACCCTTATGAAGTACTGGGCTGGCCAGTACAATACAGACACAGAGTGACTGGTGTAAGAACAGCTCAGGATCACAAACTTACTTAAGAGACTTGAGCATCTCTCATATAGAGGTTGAGAGACTTAAAAGAATATTTTCTTCGTGTAGACGGATGTCAGCATACCAGAAAAACCCTGTCGAAATCATTTTTGTTAAACCTGAGCTTCAAATTGCTTTCAGCTTTTGATATAAACTTTTATGAACATATCTAAGAGCTGATTAAAAAAGGAGATGTATATCACTGCAAGGTACTACTAATAAATGAGGATGGTCTAATTACATGAAAGATAAGATTCACTAATTAGTGATATAACAAGGGAAAAATACTTTTCTTAAAATATTTTGGAATTTATTAAAGTAGTACTATTTTTAATGTAACAATCTTCCACTGACAAGAAGTTATTATTTGCAGCTGCTGAAACTTCTAGGAAAATAGTTTTCTTTGTTATTACTAAATTCTAATACTACATTTACCTTAGCAATTGATAAAACATTTGAAATTATAGTTTTATGAATTTTCAAGGTTAGTTAAATTAGCAAAACTATTTTCCTTCATGTTTTTAGCTTGCATGGAGATGAAGTGAAATTTTGTGGTTTTACATTTTGTAGTCATGTGTTTATTTATTAGAAAATGAGCAATAACCTTTTTGAAAATCTTGAGATATTAAGGGGGCTAAGTAACTTCCTTTTTTTCTCTCAATACTTCAGGAAAAAAAAGAAAATTAATAACTTTCAGGAAGATTCTGCCTGACTAACCTGATCTTCTATGACAAGGTCACTCTCTTATTGGATGGGAGAATGGCTGTGGATGCTGTTTACTCTAAATTATTAAAATCTTGTACACTGTTTCCCCAGGATTCTCCTGGAGAAGCTGGCAGCCTACAGCTTGGACAAGTCTTCAAAGGGAAATATTTTCTTATGTGTCAAGTGTTGTTAACTCAATTTTAATGTTCTTACTTCCCTTGAGAAGGATATCTTAAAACTAGACTAATCTGGTTGAAGCCAATAAAGGCTATTCCAAAATGGGGCACCACCATATTTACATTAAAGGGAAATATGGATATTTTCTCTTCCTTCCCACATGCATGCTGTGCAAGAGAATGTGTGAGAAATCTGAACCAGACAAGAGCTGGGCTGCACTCTGTTGAGAACCATGGTACTGAAGGGCAGGGGGAAGGCAGGGGTAAAGACCCTGCAGAAAAACAAGGAACTTGCATGGAGCTTAGTTTTAACAAAGGAGTTTATTTTAGGGAGAAGACACTGCAGTACTCATTCTGTGCAAACAAAGGGAGCAGTCCAAAGGCTTAACAATTTAGCAATGAGGCAAGTTAAGAAGGTTGGACAGGAGGGCAGAAGTGAATATATATGAACTTGATCTCCAGTCACATTTGTGAATCTGTGCCTAAGGTTCTCAAATAATTTGACAGACATCGGGACTGGAAAACTTTTTCAGGTCTTTTTGCAAAACACATTTTCATACATTGTCCAGGCTTTCATAGCTTTGTGGCAGATGACTCAAATTTTCTTTGTCCCTGTGCCTAAAGTCTAACTCCCTTTAAAGAACTCAGGTTGTATATCCAACAAATCCCACACACATACATGCATATCCACTTCCCATAGGAATCATGAACAGCTGAACTCCACTTAGAACTGCCAAACAAATGTGCCAATTAAACTCAAAATGGACAAACGTGTGTTTGGTCAAGTGAGCTAGCAGAATGTTTCTGATTGGGTGGACTTCAGAAGGAGCTTCCTCACTATGCCCTTCAATTTTTAACTTGGAGACTCTCAGATAATTGAAAATCCAGTTTTAAAAATTAAATCCTGCTATTTTCTACAGCGATTGCTGAGAAAGTTTAGATCTGTGCATTCCTCAAAGGCACACCTGAGCCTGAAGTCCAAAGAAATGTCAATAAGACTCAGTTTCTCAAATGCTGGCCCAGTGAACAAAGTCCAATACATGCAGCTGGACACCTTTGAATGCTTCCTGACAGGTGGAAAATTATTTATTTCAACTGGATGCATGAAAGGACTGGCAGTGGAAAAAAAAGCCCCAGTTCTTAATAGAATATACTTAAACTTTAAACACAAGTAAGTCTACAAAGAAATACCAGTATCTCCATTTTCAACTACAAAAAAAAAAAAAAAAGCCATGAGAAATATTTAAGAGCCTTTTATTTATATTTAATTTTGAATGCGCACTCTGTCTGCTGATGTAAAAATATCAAATATCATAATTAGGCATACATAAATGAATTTCTGTCTTAGGGACTGAGGTGCAAAGTATATAAAATAAGAAAAGAACCCTATCAACATCAAAGGAAGGATAATTTGTCTCAGCTAATATCAAGATGATAGAGCATTTATAAGATATGTGGTTTATTTGCACAGTTATATCGTGGATAAATAAACTGTGAGATTATTTTAAACACACCACTATTTAATTCAGTTGTTTTCATCAGGAAGATCCACAGAAAAACTGATTTAGTGCTGGCAATGACATAGCGACTCTCCAGCTAGCTTGGAACAATTGGGAAACATATTTATCTGACTTGTGGCAACAGTGAATGAGAACTAGAAGCATGTGGTATCCAAGATAATCCTCAAGATTTTCAGTGAGTAGAAATGCTGAACTAAAAGTCAAACCATGACAGTCTCTACAAGTAAATATTTATGAACATTTAGGGTAATGATAGTTCATGAAAGCTTATGAAAACTATAAAAAATATAGCCATGCTGCATGCATCTTAATCTATAGCCATGCATTATCAACAAAGTCCATGGAAGACTGCATTAAATCTAAGTTTAAAGCAAAAATCAAAATAATTTAAAAAATGCTTTCAATAAAAACTGAAATCTTAATTATTTTAAAATGTGGGAGTCTTTTACATTTAATTTGCATTTTAAATAATGCTTGGAGCATTACACAGTAAGAAATTAATCAATTTGAACAAACCAGTGGGCCCCATATGAAGAGTGATATGCAAAATAAATATAAATGAATGGATAGTAGAAACTTTTCATTTACCAGGTATGGGACAGGTACTATGGAATAATCAGGAAAACTGTTTTTTCCCACAATGCACTCTCTAAAACCAGTATCCTCAATATTCCAAAATATTATAAAGAAATAAAAATCCAGACAAGCAAAAAAGAAGAAGAAAGCAGGACCATGCTGTTCATCCACGCACCTGGAGGAACAACTCCAATACCATCATCAACATCAAAATCTGAGATGTCACTATCACTGATTGGCCGAGATCCTGCACAACAGTAAGGTAAACAAATACCTGAACATCTGGTCATGTTATAATATGTAAAAATATGTTCATTCAACAAAATAATGAAACCAAAAGATGATTTTAAGTCAAAACAATAGAGAAGGAGAACTCAACTGCAGTGACTAACTGATGCTTCAGAAGACAGCTGAGCCAATTTAACATCTTACAGCTGCTGCAGCCTCCTTTCCCTTTCTCTTCCTCTCAAGTCCTCAGTAATCCTCCACTAGGATAGATTATCTTTGTAAGCCTCCAAAAGCAAAACTCAAGTAAAGGAAAAAAAACCACTTTTGTGCTACTTCAGTGAATATGCTGAATCAGCTTCCTAAACAGGAAAGGAGATGAGGCAACATATGGTGAGAGAGAGGAAGAGGAAACAGCACTGCCAGCCTTTAGAAGAGCTCAAATATCTCACAAAAACTAACCTTTCATTTTCTCTCTCTATACATACCCTGAGTTTGGGCATCTATGCAGCAATTACAGCAGTAACACATACTTATAGTTCATTCCTGAATGTACAACTATTTTCTATGCATAGTCTGGAGTGAATGACTTCCATATTTTAGAAAAATCAGAAAAATAGCTTGGAAATGCATTTTAAAATAATGCCCTACATCTTTCATATTTCTAAGTAAATCTTAGTTTAAATGAACAGAGAAACTACAATATCTCCTTTGAAATATCTCCTTTTAACGTGCCTGATACAAACCTGAAATCAGACTCATGAAAATAACTGTACCTCCAAAATACATTAATAAAATTTCTCTTTTCTGCAAAAGTACACTTTAATGAGCATAAAAATTTTTTTTGCTAATGAAAGCCAAATCAATTCCAGCAGGTTTCACACACTTGAACGTTATACGTCACAGTTGTAAGGCTGACATGTAAAAATGTCATAATTTAAATTGTGTTCCTGCCACAAATTTTCATTACTTTTAAGGACTAGGAAATAGTATCTTTTTTATTTTACTTGGAATTTAAGTACCATTACACCATATCCATCACTTCTAATTTAAAATTTAAGAGACCTTAATGGAATTTGGACCTACTTTGTAATTTTTTGCTAGTGCTCTCTCCACCATGAACATGTCTTCTTGGCATGAATGGTGATGGCTGAGGCAGAGGTAGTGAAGATTCATCATGTGTCTGTAGCTTATACCAATGTGGTTCATCATCTAAAAGTGCTGTCTCCAGCTCTATAAGAATCTAGCAGAAAAATCATCAGGTTTCAATTTTACTTCGAAGGCACACAGAGAAACACACACACAAAATACATATGCAAATCTACTCAAAACCAAACAATGAACTCAGAAGAAATGTGATTGCATGCATCACCTCTCCAAGAAATTCACTCTCTTCTTCTTGTACTCTTGGCTGATCCCATACTGTGATTTCAAGCATTCGTTCTCTAAAATCTCTACGATGTACATGTGAGTAGAGAAAAGTTTGATTCCATTTTGGCTCTAGACTTTTCTTTACTGTTTTGGTCCTTCTTTTACTTTTATCACTGAAACATAAGTATTTTTTGTAAATTATTCATAGAGATAAATCAGAAAATATCATATACTCATCAGCATGTAACTGTTTTCATTTTCTCTTAGGCAATATTGCCTAAATGAAGAAAGCATTTTCTGCACAGTGGATCACATTCTTAAAAAAGACTAAAAAGTTAATTTGATACTGACTTGTATGATTCAAGTGTAATTTTTTGTTATAAATAATCTAGCTATAAAAAATTGTAAAAAGGAGTTCTTCATAAGCATTCATTAAAAGCTGATTCAATACATGGTAAATTAAAACATAATTTTATGAACTGGAATACTGTTACCTTCTGTCTGGAAGAAAATACATTTTTACATAGGGATTTCTGGGGCGCCCATCTACTCTTGTTGGCAAATCTGTTGCCTGTAGAACATTTACTATTAACTGATGTCCCACTTTGTCATACCAGAGTTTTACCTACAGGAATCAAGTTACCAGAAAACATTACTGAAAATGGAGAAGAAACAGAATTTTCAGATTGCATCAAAAATAACCACACTGTAAAAGTAACTGTTGTTTTTTTCCCCAGAGACAATGAGATATATTTCATTTAAGATCCCTTAATATTTTATTAGTTTAGATGGAAAAGATGATGGTATATACCAAGACTTTTATACTTATCACAGCAGAATAAAATTATGGTGCCTGATTATACTCCCATTGTTTATTGTACTCATTGCATAATCTTAGAACTGTAAGTGCACCTAAACCAGCAGGTCTTAGCTCTGCACCTTAAAAGCTACATTAAAGAGAAAACTCTGCCTGCATCTAATCTCAAGGTATAGCTGAAATCTATCTACTCAGATTTGTGACATTTTCAAAAGTGTTTATGGAAACAATAATATAGAGCTACATAATTTCTTAAGAGAATCGTAATGTTAGGAAATTTTTAAGCCTGCTGAATACTCCTGAAGTAATACGATCAATATAAAAACATTAGAAATGTGGAAAACAAAGTTTAAGTACTGACAGTATATTTGATAAGCAGGACGTCAATTAGTATTACAAGAAAGTTCCAAGATGTATCAAAATTAAAATGCATTACTGAATAGTGTAATGCTTAACAAATATACAGGCCTTTAAATGCTCCCATAAAGAAAACAGTGATACTATGCTTGAATCTGCAGAGTACTGGATACTGGACATGTACAGCAAAGTCACTATTTTCAGTGCAGAAGCTACAAAATGACAAGTTTCAAGGCACTTTTATGGGCTCTTCTCAATGTAAATTCCTGCACTCTTTGGTGTATTAAGACAACAATTTCTTATGTCTGCTATGATTACAGTCAGGTCTTGTTAGTGCATCCAGAGGCTATCAAAAAACTTTTGAAAAATGTTAATCTTTACCAACACTGAACATTTCTCTTGGCCTCCCAACAGGCCCTGGGAATGTGCAGGGCTGAAGGACCAGCACTTCATAGATTTCCATTAAACACCCAAGAAAAACAAAACATGCTCACAGAAAGCTGCCCTGGTAGGACCTGAGGTGCATCCCGTAGGGCTCCAGGGCTAGTCGGAGATATAACAGAAATAGAAGGCCTTTCCATCTTCTGAGATTCAAAAGAACTTGAACCTAAAACCACATGAGAAAAACATGAAATTACCATCCAAAATTTGGATAACTTATGAACTGCTTTTTCTTTGAATTGTATAAAATTGATTTAGAAAATAGAGTGAAAAGACTGGTTTTTTACCCCTACATCCCAGATTAAACCTGTCATTTTTTGGTTTATTTAAAAAAACCCATATAATAAGAGTGTTCCTCATACATCTTTGATAAACTATAGCAAGTGTTTTAAATAAAATACTGTTCTCTGACTGTATTACACATCTCCCTCCCCAGACAAAGTACTCTGATTCTACGATCCTAAGTCTTTGATGAATACACCACGTCTGTTGTATAGACTATATTCCCAGTAGCCTCTGAAATTTTAATAGGAAGACATGCAGGACATGAATCTGGCATGGAGGATATTTCAGCAATGGCTGGACATCCTCAGTTCTCCCCAATGAAACAGAGCCCTCACTAATGATATGAGCTTGTGACAAGTGATCACACCTTCCCTGCTCCAGGGAAGGTTTCTAGTTGCATCTCAGGAAAGGCTCAGATGGGAGAAGACTGGGAGCCATGGCCCTCAAATAGTCTGGCTGAAAACATTCAAATGGAATACTTAAAAAGAATACCAGTCTTTTGAAGTATCAACAAAAAATTCACATAACCAAGGTTTTCTTGTTAAAAAAAAAAAAAGAGAAACAAGAACTCTGGACTTACTCTGATTGGTGCAGGAGGTGAAATCCTGACACCATTTGTACCTTATACCTGTTTTCTTTCTTATGTTAGGAGATGTAAATTATTATTTTGGTAGTAACAACACAAGATACATAATGAAAAAATATAATTCTGCTAGCATTTGAAATCTGTGTATGCTTAATAAAATCCATATTGCTTCAAATTTAACACACAAGGCCAAAACCCATTGAATTTTGTCACGCAAAAACCTCAGAGCCAATGCAATTTCCACAGATCATTTTTCAGAAATTTCATAGCTGAAATAGTTTTGCTGGGTACAAGATCACGCTTAAAGAAAAGAACAAGGCGTGTACTCACTAGACTCTAATGGGGGGTGGGAAGTCTCGGGAATCCGTGGAATATCACTAAAATGTGAACACAGCAATTAGAAACAACAGAGACAACCTTTGGCTGTGACAAATACATTGCTGGGACAGTGTTCTAATAACATGGATTTGTTTCTGTTCTAACAGTTTACAAGGAAAGAAAGAGGAAATATTTGAAGACATACTTTCTACTATCATTCATGAAAATCACACTAACACAAACCACGTTCAGGTTAAGGAACTAGCAGATATAACAATAAGGAACTAGCAGATATAACAATGTTAACATTGTGGATGGATTACAAGATATTTTACAACTGGAACAATAAAGAAAGAGAAATTTTAGGAAGAGAAAAATATGCAGTACATAGATATACTTCCTTTGCCAGAAGGAAGTACAGCTATGCTTGTTCAACTATTTTTTGGAGGAACAAAAATCAAAAAGATAAGACAAAGATTAACTCACTAGTAATTTTTATATAAACGTCTCAAGGCGTTCAGAGAATGAAACTGATGAAAATGTCTTACAATAATAAAAAAGGAAAACAAAGATTATAAGCAATGTTAAACAAACAAGTGAATAATGCATTTCTCCAAAGGATAAAAGAAAATGAAACTGTATTAAAACTGGGTATGGACATTTTTCAACACATACATATCCAACACATATACAGATATAAGTAAGATAAACTGATTAAATCCACACACATCTATCAGTGTTTTCTCATCAATAAATTTATTCTTCCACCAAAATCTGGATGATGCTAGTTCCTGGCTCTTTCTATTCTCAGCTGTCATTGAAAATACATTACAAGAGCAAAAATCATCTAGTATTGCACATATCTTAACAAAGCAGCAGAGCAGGGAAATGGAAACAAAACTCTTCAGTGAATTATTTGAATGTATTTTCATCCACACAGACTAATCCAAAACTGGAACTGCAATAACATTTCTGAAGAACAGTTACAAGATTTTAAGTCTATAGTTGAGAATTTTAAAGGTATTCAGGCAGTCTGCTCAGTGAAACACAGAAATCTTTCTGACCTGGAACTCAATAAAACTAAGACTCCTATGTTTATATAAAGTCACTTATGAAAAAGAAACAGACACTGGTATCAGAAAAAGAATGCAACAGTGCCCAATCACTGAGCCTTAAAGTCCCTTTTCATGTCCTGCAATTTAAACTTGTGGTGCCTGTGGTTAAAATAGACTACTTCAGCTCTGCATTAATGTCTCAAATCAACTTAAACCTCAGATCACTAAACAAGAATGTGCTTGTCTTGACTTCATGAGTCAGGAATAACGTGGTTTCCTCAAACTCATGGAATTATAGCTGAACTAGTAATTCTTGACATGGCACAGTACTACACTACAAACATATGAACAGATTAATAACCTGATGCACAGCAGGGCTGCTATGTACTCTTCTTCCTCTTAACACTTTCTCTTTTTCAGGTCAGACTTTCCAGGGCATTTCTCATCAGTCTGAAGTATTTACTTACCATAATCAAACAGATTTTCTGTTTAGTACAATGTTAAGTTTGCAATATTTTCTCATGCTAGAATATGAACACTCCCATCTGCAGTACAGCACTGTTTGCAATAACATCACTTTTAGGATGTCTAAAGAAAGGTTCACATGTGCAAGGACTTTCAAAATGGAAAGTGCCAGCCACAGTGTCAAGTTCTATAGTCCTGGTGTGATTAAAGACACTAAAACTAATTCTGTTTGGATTTTTTTCTTGTATTGTCAACAATACAGTAGGAAAAAAAGGCTAAAAATAAACTTCAAATATTAATTACACATTAATAACAACTTAATAACTGATTCATATTTCTGCTAAGGCACTGTCACACTATTACAACCAATACAGAAAAAATTAATAATAAATCAACACGAGAAAAAAATCCACACAGTTTAAAAGAGGATTAAATGTTGGCATTTTAATTAGAGAATGAATATTCTAAAAGGAAACTATAATCTAAAACTTCTCATGTGAGAAAACTAGTCTTATCTCGCCTGCTTTTAATTTTGTACTGCAGAAAATATTCTGATATATGATTTACAAAAAAGCTCTTTAGAAAAAATAGTAGCTCATTACTTAAAATATTCAAAACTAGACCAGTCAAAGAAAAATGAAGTTAAAAGTTGCACAACTGCTTATCTAATACAGTAACAAAATTTTACTCCCCTTTTGGAGCAATACGAACTTGAGAAAAGTAGTAGGCAGCTCTTTACCTCCAGTAAAGACCTGCCAACTTCAAACTTTGTCTTTCTATCTCTACCTTGTGTGGTCTTACATGATATTACATATTATTATCTTAAGTCTGATTCTTTCATGCCTCGATGACTATGTAGATTAAACAAAACTGTGCCTTAGGCTGAAACTACTCTGTGCAGATATATGGTTTGTGAGAATCACTATTTTGCACAGGAACAGTTATAATTTCTTCAAGGCATATAGGCAAAGTTGCTCACTGAAGAAGAACAAAGTTCAAACATGGTTGTAACCCACACTTTTTAGGTTGTTCTAGAAATGTAGATGTTCTAGAAATGCTCAGATGTATCATATTCTACGCCCCAGAGAGCTTCTAAAGAGCTTCTGAGTACCTCTCACCAGTGCTCATCCTGCTATTCCCAAAACCATTCCCTGCCATCAGAACCTGTAGATCAATCTGCAGTTTGCACTAATTGAGCAGCTCTCTGCAGCTCAGCACTGCCTGGTTCATGATGGAGGTTCAACCTCCTTGCCAGGACCTAGACCACAGTAACCAACCCTGCACAGAGGAACTGAATCATATCACAGAAACAACAGTTTTGGCAGCATTATCTGTGGAAATCTAAGCAAAGATAGCTAGCATCTGACAAAGAAAACAGAGACAAATGAAAAAACATTTGTTTTACCTGCACTATCCCATAGAGCACACAAGAGACAGTGAGTTGTTACCGTGCCACGCTTCTTCTCCGAGAAGTATACTGCCAGAGGATTTTCTGTACTGTCCTATGTTAACCACCTCTCACATTGTATGCATATTCATAGGTAATTCTTCCCCTCATATTGAGATAGCCAACCCATTAATTCTACTTTTTATAGGTTTCTTATCTACCTTGTGTTGCAGCCATTAGAATTAGTGTCAATTAGTTTCTATGGAGTTTCCACGGTACAATTGCGGTTATACTGTTTATAGTTGTTATGCCTTTAGCTGCTAATAGTGTTATGTGCTTCACATTTTTCTCTAATAAACATCCTACAATTATCCATTACTTAAAATTACATTTGCTGGCAGACAGAGAAATCCAAATTTACAAGACTGAACAAATTGTTTAGACCGCAGTTTTGTAACTGGCAATCTAATTTGTGGGCAGTCTAATTTGTGGACTTACAGTCCTTCCATTATTCACTTAAGGCAAACTGTGTCATATTTGGGCTTTTTAGACCTAATATGCTAGGCATTTTTAAATCAAGACCATTAAAAGTGCTGGTACATTATTTGCATTATTAATACTGAGAGATGAAAACACTTAAATTATGTAGATGAAATACCATTTTCAGGCCTTTCGGGAACTTATTCCCTCACAAGAATTTTTTGCTGTAATGGATTATCACTTAATGCTGTATCAAGCAACTTCAATTTTGCTTAGTCAGCACCTAAAAGTACCCACCAAACTTTGGCATACTAGATGTGTTGGATGGGATGAAATAAAAATCCCTGTCATGGATTTGAAACCATCACACAGTTTGGAAAACAAGACAAAGTGGAGCTAGGGACAAAATCAAAGCAATCTATTAATCAAGCAAATAATTTTCCATTATGCAAGACAATTTACATAGATCCTAATTATCAAGAAAAAAGAAAAAAAGGGAAAAAAGAAAATTCTGTGCAGCATTCTCTTTCTTTTAATAACTACTATTAGGATTTTTTCTGTTCTACAATGTCCGAAATTTTTGGTTATTTTCAGATGACAGACAGGTAAACCCCCATCTGACATAAAACAACTGGACTTTGACTCATTACTAGAGGATTGAAAGGATCTGTCTTTAAATTTTAAAATCCTGTGCTCTAGGGATATTTATTTGTTCTCATAAAGACCCCAAAAAACAACCCGACCCTCAAGCAAAAGAAAAAAACTTAAAAATCTATAGAGACATAACTCTACAAGAAAAATGTTGTTCTATTATGCAAAAAAACCTCCATGCCAAGACTCCATTTATCTCAAAACAAAAGCAAAATCTAATGTGATCTATTTCTGACTACATATTGAAAAAACATGTATGGGTCATCCAAAGGAAAACTTTACATTTTATTGGTACTATTTCTGGATGCACTATTCTAACACAAAATCCACTGCTCAGATTAATGAACATTCTTTGATTTTGAACAAACTTCAAAAAAGTGTATTTTTTCAGTTTTTCTTTAGGAATGTGGCACTGGAATGCAGTCACCTTGTACTTAATTTCTCTAAACTGATAGATTTATCAAATTTGTAAACTAAAAGAATATATTTGGTTTATTACCGAAGTTATCTTAGAAGTTTAAGAGCACACATGTGCAATATTGACAGAAATAAATATGTTTAAAGTCCATTGTTTAAAATGCTAATCTAGCTCTCTCCTTTTACATCAGTTCTACAGTTGTACAAATCCATTTCCATGTTTTCTTCAATTGAGATGTGGAATTCAAGTCATGTCCAGTATCAACATATTCCTTTTTTAGCTGATTTAAATATAAAAACTAGACTTCCTAAAATCTCCTTAAGGCATGTTATTTTTAATAACAAAGCTGTACAAATGAATTTGCAGCTTTCTTTCAAGAATATCACCAATTTATTTCAAAAAAAAGTAAAATAAAGCTTCTACTTCCCCAGAGTCTTCAGCTGGATGATAATTATAGCATTTAACAGCCACTATTATTGCATCAGACTTTCATTTTCCATTAGAAGGTCAAACTGATAGGTGGAATTACCTATTAATATCAATTTTTTAAGTACTTTTAATAGAGATTGCCATTAAAAAGACAGAATTTATTAGCAAAATATAGCTACACTCACATGGCACAGACAGAATTAATAATCAAAACATAAAAGGATATTTTAGTCAGAAAGAAAATAAATAGTTCTTTGTTTCTAAAACTGAAAAAGTATCGTATTTGAGACAAGCAAAAATTATAATTAAGATGAAAATAGCAAATCCAAAACAATCACTTCTTATTGTAAATCACATGACTCTATTTTGCAAGGTAAATGTGAATTTACAATAAATTATTCATATTCCATTTTGTAAGACCTAGCTCAAAACATTCCTGATATCACTAAAACTACTATCACTAATGCAGGGCCAATCCCCCCAGTTTTATCAATTTGAACAGATATTATTTTCCTTCTAAGGTGTATTCAGGAAACTGAGAATAGAAGAATTGTTGTCACAAAGCTCCGAACCTGGGTTCATAATAAAAAAAATAGAAATTATAAACATAACACATTTATGCTAATTTTTGATTGAATCTTTTGCTTCCATGTTTGACTTTGACAACAAAAATTCAAGGGTAAATACAGTCTTTTCAATTAGGAGTTTTCTGTTTCCTTTTTTAGCTTTTAAAAGAAGGTCTGTTTAAAATCCTACTAGCACTGGCTTAGTAGAATCCTGCAACGCTTCCCTCCACTCATGAAGACCTTTATAAGTTATTCTGATCCCGTAGGCTGAAAGCCTGAAAACACAAAGTTTGTCATGCACAGGTGTACCTAATCCACCAATTTTCCTTTGCCACTTGGCAAAAGTCTTTAATAGTATGTTGACCACACAGAAGACAATATTTATGGTTATATGTCACTGCAAAGGCACAAGACTGTAAATGGTAGTGAAGAAAACAGACTATACAGAATGTCAGTAACAGAAGGAGATTTGTATCCCATTACTAATAAAAAATAATCCCTTTTAAGATTCCTATTAACAGAACTAATAACTATACTAAAGAAGTAAGTCTTTAGCCTTACCCAATAGGCCTGGAAACAATGATTTCAACTTGAGGTTCTGATTTTGATTCTAAAATAATGTTGTAAACTTCTTCATTTGTAGCTCCAGGCAAGGGTTTACCATTCCATTCTAGAACTTCATCCCCTTGAATTTAAAAAGAAGTTTATCTCACTTTCATATTCTTTTACAAAGAATGAAATCTATATTTTCAAGTAACATAAAAATAATTTAAAATAATGAAAGAGCTGTACTGAAACCTTCAGACATTTTCCTGCCAAGGTGCTTTTTAGCTGGCTGGCTCCCAGTGCTTACACTTGGACAAGGATGTTCTGTTCCTCATGCAAGACTTCATATTTGCAATTATTAAAATTTATGTACAATTACTCAAATTTTTATCAACTACCCAAATTTTGGATGTTTTTTATAAGGAAAAAAAGTGTTTTTTCTAATTGCAAGGACTCATCAATGCCTTTTTTGTGTGCTCTGGTCCTATGCAATTGGATGAACAGACTTTCACTCACTGGAAACGTGCAAAACAATATATTTTTCTGGGAAATAATTTTGCCTCTAAAACTAGTTTCAGAAATTAAAAATAGCTTCCATTAAAAAAAAAAACACCAAAAAAAAAAAAAACAAAAAAAACCAAAAAAACCAAAAAAAAAACAAAAAAAAAATAGAAAATTAGGATTTCAGCCCAAATGGTTTAAGATTAGTGGAGACAAATTTATTTCCTATAATTATAATCTGCATTTAAAATCTATAAACAACTGCTGATTTGGTAAGAAAGAAAAAACTAAAAATGCCAAAAAAGTAGAATATTGTTAGAGATTCATCATCCTTTCTAGTTCTTTATTACTCTCTGCTTCACACAATTATCCTGAAGCCATCCACATTGGCATTGGAGCTTCTGGGTTCTTAAGACACTACATAGGTACTTTGGTTTGCTATGACAACATTTGGAAAGTAGTTGCTTAGAGCTATAGTAAAAATACAAACCATTAAGAAGTGACTATGAAAGCCAAATGCTGTGCATAATTCTCACTTCATTTAGAAGCTGGAAAAGTACCATTAGCACAGCCATTTATTTGTAAGTGCAATAGATACATCTAATAGAAATGAAATATTTTAGGACCATTTTTTGGCTTCTTTTCCATTTTCATTTGTAACAGTTAACACTGCAAATAACACTAATAAAATCCACTGTGTATGCTGTGTGTCATCCTTCAGTGATCTGAATTTTGTTTGCCACAATCAGTTAAACAAAAAATGTTTGCATTGCTTCTGTGGAGTGTAATAAGCAGCTCCTGAGCTAGCAAACAAAAATTTACCAGTGTCACTCAGTCCTCTTACCAGCATTGCTCAGGAGTGTCTTTTTTTTTGCTCATACATCCAAGCAATTGTTATTCATAACAAAATAGAAATGTAGGCAACCATGGCATTTCATAATAATGTTACAGTATTGTTCTGTATTTTAAAAAAATTACCAAAACACATGACAAATTTTTGTATAAATTAAAGGTTGCATGCAATAGGCCATTACTAAAAGACAGTATATTTTATATGCAACTGATTGATTTACCTGCTCTGAGATGCCCCACCACATCAGCCAAGCTACCTTTCTTCACTTTGGTAATGAAGGCACCGAGTCGTCCTAATTCTGTCATTTTTCCTCCAACAACCTAGTTAATCATAAATTTGTGAGTCCCCCAGCCACCAACCAGATGTCACATAAAGCACAAATATTTAGACGAATCAGTTTTCACAATATTTTTTAAATTTCACCTGAAATGTTCATAGGCAAACCTATTGTCAATTTGGGTTTTAGAGAGGCTTAAAGACAAAAAGATGTAAAGCTGACACAGGATGAATAAGATTTCTATTCCTTTTACTGTATTTGACTAATCAATCTTATGCAGTTTGCTAAATACCTGCATTTGTTGCAGAAAGAACACTTCTTAATAAATAACCAGGCAAATGCATTTTTACAAATAATTGTCCATCATGTACTCAAATTTAAATTGCAAGTGCACATCATTTCAAGTGTATGAAATCCCAAAATTGGTACATCAATTGAAAACTTAGCAAATACACTACTATTAAATATGGGCAAGGAGTTCACAAGAATATTGATGATGCTAAAACATAGGCGCTCTCATCCAAGAACATGACAGGACAAACCAGCAGCTTTTGGCTTTTCCAGAACAGAAGAGAAACTGAAACTGAAGAGATCTGTTTATAAAGAAAATGTAGTCTTGCTGATTTGCAAGACAAGTTATCCCTTTAACTATCTTTCTCCAGTCAGTTGAGGGGTTTGGTTGTATTTTTTTTCATCAGGAATATCCCAGAGGAGTTTTATTATAAAAAGAAACAGTAGAATGTTGGTTTATTAGGGATTAGTTCCCCATGTTGCAATCACAATAACTAGCAAGAGCTTTAATACCAAAAAAGTATCCAGAAGCCCATCTGCCAACAATATTGTCACATGATAGTGTGTGAAATTTATAGCGAGGGCCTTAGTTCATATTATGTACAGCTGAAACTCAGAGTTTCAAAGAGAAACTCAACAATCTACAACTGTACAATCTGCATTTCCTACTTGGCCCAACCTTTTTTTCTCACATAGTCAAACAGAATCATTTGCTGACAGCAAATATGAGCTTTGTGCTATAGACTAATAAACATTTAGTAGAGTAAAGCTGTTTTCATCTTTTGTATTACCATGCCAGACTATCACACTTCAAGGTGGGAATATTTCAGATCTTGCATTCTTTCTGTTGTTCTCAGTGAAGAGGGAAGGACACCCAAATTAAATGCTATCAGTCCTCATTGTTACTTCATAGATTTAAAAATATACAGAGAGAGAAAAATGCTTGAACTGCTACTAGCTTCAGAAAAAAACCTTTTTTAAGTGTTCTGGCAATTTAGGCACATGAACCTAAAAGTCTGCTAAAAATGTAAATTAGGGATTTAAATCAATTGGACAGTGTTGCCAATATCTCAATTTTGGGGTGCTAGACTAACTAGAATTAAATTTAATATAACATCTTCTATGATTTAAGAAGATTTTTGTGTAAATATTTGGATTCTTTCTACAAAATTTCTGTTTTCAAATGGTTGTGTGACTTTTAAACATTGACCTTGTACACATTTGCATCCAGATTACATTTATGTATGTTGATTATAAAATTAATTTCTTGACTAAATTGCAAACAGCAGAGCTAGAAAATGCAGGACTCCATTAATGCATGGTCACGTGTAGTTATTTATCTTGCAGACAGGAAGCTGAATAAACATACCCTTTTTAATCAAAATGGTTCAGCCCCTTTGTCATGGACAATTGAAGACTGTATAGAAGAAGTAAATGTATTTATATTCATAATTTATCTGTATAACTTTCAAAATTTAGGAAAAGAGAGGAATACATTTTTGGTCAAAAGACCGTATGATTTGAGAGTCCTCTGATTTAATATGTTACACGTGTATGTCTAAGGTCAGTGGAAGTTATTTTCATTTAGCACATAAATAATGTAATACTTACTTTTAGCCCCAGTAATGCACCTGATTCTTTAGGCATGGTTGTTCTCTTGTTAAGAATAACACGCCCAATTAAGCGATCTCCCTCTTTGGAAGGCTGCCACGTTACGGGATGCTGTTAAAAAACAAGCAATTACATTGAACTGGAATTTAAAAAGTGTGAACATCCTCCAGTATTTAACTGCACATGTATAAACCAATAAAACGACTGTATCATGATGTTACAGTTGACACAAACATCCTTCAGATGTGTTACATAGTGCACCTGAGTTTTCTATGAGTATATCTGTTGGACTCTGGCTACATTAAACATTTATGCCTCTTGTAAGAAAATGTCTGCATTAAGTCTACAGATAGAACTATAATTCAGTTCAAATTTCAATACAATTAAACATTTTAAACACATCTTAGATAATAAAATTAAATATTTCTTTTTAAATTACACGACTCTGAAAAGCCCATGCCAAAATTCTGTTCTTTAGAATAACACACATCATGCAGGTCTACCAAATGAGGGTTCATTAAACAATAAATTCAAAATTATGCTTTCCAACTCCAAGTCTTAAAAAAAATCACTAATCTTTGCCAGAGCAGCATCACATTCACAACTGATTTTTTTTTGGTGTTCATGGTGAAATTAAGTGCCATGTCTATTAAAGAGATTAAAGTCAGGTTAAAATTCAGGCAATTTTATAAATATGCATTTCAATAAAACTTTCTTTCTGATTTCGATTTCCTTCGTAGTCTTAAACAAATTTTCATATGATTTGTGTATAGTATTTTTTTACAGTCAAATATCTATGCTGAACTGAAATAATAAAGCAAACATTTTAACTTATACTTATGAATCCCTATTTTTCTATTTCTTACCGAACTAATAGGGGACGTCTCCCTGCTGTGCCACGTGGCAGGATCCAGCCAGTAGTAATCCAAGTCACCTGGAAGAATATGAATAGAAAGAAATGTGTAATCTCTCAAACAGAGAAAGATGTATGAATTATTACTATTGCATGCATGAATTTTAAAATGCAATTGTTTGATGAAGCAAATACAAAACTCTTTTTATTATTCAAATCAATATGTCAATTTGAAAACAATATAGTGTATTAATATTAAATAATGCGTTTATTTGGATCTCTGCTTTTTCAAGAATTGCACCTTAGAATTGGTTGTGCACACTGTCTATTTTTACCTTTGCTCAGTCCAAGAAAGGACCTCAAAGCATCACATTCACAGCCCTCCTCCTCCCCACCATCTCCATAATAAACACACAGGACTACAGCTAATGATGACACGAGAGGGAATACTCCACAAAATGGGCTCTTAGCTATAGTTAAGGACAGAACAGCCAGCCAGACTCTAGAATCTGCAGAGGTCAATGTTGTGACAACAGGTACTGTACAGAGGGAGAGGCACAGGAGCAGGAAATAGAGTGCCAGAGGGAACAGCCACACAAATACAGCAAATAGTACCAACAGCAGGTACGAGGCTGCAATCTTCTCTTTCACTTGGGACAAACTTATATGCTGTGTAACTCAAGAAAAACACCATGAATTACAGTGGTCTGGAAGCCATCAGCCTATCAGGACAAAGAGGGCACTTTTGGACACATATCTTCAATATCTTACTTTCATAAAACAGATCTCTGTAACACTACAGTTAGATGCCTGTGTTCTAGTAAGAGTAGTGATCTAATAGAAGCCCAAACAAAGCATGCAAGGGAGAAGAAGATACCTTTACATGCAGAGATTTTTTAATTCTTTCTCTACAAATACTTAGATGCCAATTATGAAATACAAGTTGCAACATTCTCTATAACTCATACTACCTTTAATAGCTTATCATCTGCATGATCATATGCCCAAGTTTATTTTTAAACAGCATATTACTATCATATGCATAACTGCATGAGGCAGTTTGTGGTTTCATTGGCTCTGTAGTTCTGCAGGTTTGGAAAACACATTAAATCACATTAAAGATCTTTCCGTTTTATTTTTAGGATTCATCCTTGTGCCTTTATAAAGTTCAAAATTACAAGAACAACAAACCTACAAACTACACTGACACCTGCAGTGCTGGCAGTAAGCTCAAAAGTATGGTACAGAGCTCCCCAAGTTTCAGTAATACACTCAATGGTAATACCAAAAATCAACAGTCTCCTGTGTGGGCTGACCTGCCACATGCCAAACACAACACACTTTGTCTTCTTCTTGTTTTAGAGTTATTTGCTTAGCAATAGAGAAATGTTCAGGAGGGAATAAATGTCAGCTCCAAGATGCAGATGAATGTATCCAAGTCCTCAAACACATTTCTTCTCACCCTCATTGTTCCCTGCTTTATTTTCCCCTCTTCCTTCCTAGATTCAGCTTCTTGCTCTTAGTTTCCTTGCTGGTCTTCCTCCTGGTTACTGCAGATGCATGACCACTTAATTAATGCACCTAGCATCCTTCTCCACCAAGTCCCTGTTCTAGCAAGATCCTCTCATACATCTTCTGCCTTGTCTAACCTGCTGATTTTCCTATTCTCACCATCTACCTACCCTTTGCTGCCTTTTCTTCCCTGCACATTATTTTCTGCTATCTGTCTGCTTCTGGCTTTAGTGTCCTTTTTTAAGGTTCTGTATTTTAATCCCTCTTTAAACTCAAATCCTTTGATGCTAAGTTACATTCCTGCACCCTCCTTCCCACATCTAAACCTTTAGGTGTCTGTCCCTTTCCCCACTTCTGTCTGCAGAAGCTGGCCACAATGCTAATTCTCTCACCCTCTGCTCTCAAAAGCAGAGAGCAGGATCTGCACTGCAAATGCAGCTCTGCTGAGCTGGAACATGAAAGATATGCTCAGAAGCTATAAAGGTAGCTATCAAATCAAACATTTTGACTGAATGTCACTGAAAGTAGTAAGTCTACCATTTGGTGAATACTTTAAAAGCTGCAAGAATCACTCAATTTTAAGATTTCCATTAAAATTCAGTATGATACAGACCACTGGCACACAAACGTCTGGGGCAATTTACAACTATAAAAAAGATTATACAATGGAAAATGTCAGTTAATGTATTCGTAAACACTCATCAAATAGAACATAAAAGTTAAGACACAAATGAAAAAAGTCCCCAAATGGGCATTAAAAATATTTTATGCCAACAACACTGATCTGCAGTTCAGTACTCTATCATATCTTAGAAATAATTTCTCCTTGGTGATCCTATGCCATTGCTGCTTCTTTGCCTAATGCCTATTTATGCCATGCTTGCACTGCCATACTCCAGAACTCACTTTTTGTTTAATTGCAAAAAATACCTTCACTACAGCAGCATTATAGATATCCAGGAATAGGTAAATAACATGCAAAAACTAACTAAGAGTTAGTTTAGCTTCAAAATTTCAGGTTTTCTCAAAAAAAAAACCCCACCAAAACTGAAAACAAAAATCCCTACACACAGAGAACACTCTCCATTGGTAAAAGTAATTAAAAATAACTAGTAAAATAAGAAAAATTTAAGACATTAAAGAGAGGAAAAAACTACTTTTATAAGGAGCAAATAATTGCTTTATAGGCTTAAACTGCTTTTAAATACTTTTTAAATCATTCTTTAAAAACATTAACAACTTAAAAATAATAAGCCCCCATGAAAATACACGTATACTATATCATTATTTTTTGTACATTACTGATGTATTTCTAAAACATATTATTAAAAATGCATTTGTAGTTTTCATGTTTGATTTCCTTAAGACCAACTGAGTAAAGCAGGGTATTTGTAAATACTTGTAAAACCTTATTTCCTAAGGGAATAATTCAAAAGTTGTATCCTAAGAGCAAGGAAATGCTTTTCCTATTAACACGCTGCCGCTCAATTACTTTACTCTTGGACGCACACGGATGCAATAATAATTTACAAGACACAAATGTGTTGAGATTTTTCCACAAGTCTTTAGCAGCCCTCCATCAAAATTCAAGATGGGGAGTAAAACTCTTAATAAATTCTCATTGTTTTTACATCTGCAATATGTGTGCTTTCAAAATAAAGGGAAAGCTAACTCATACCACCAAAAATCCATTTTCTCGAAAATACTTTGTCTTCAGCAGCACTCTCCATACCAAGAGCTAATGCTGGGGTACTGTGATTTCAAGTGAGATCCTGAAAAGCTGAGAAGTTCTGGAAAAAGCAGCCTTGTCCCTGTCACAAAGCCAAAACAAGCACAAAATATGAGAGGGTCTGTACTTGTGTATGAACAGCCATGCTAATTTCCGAAGAGTCTTGAATACTAGGGATAAAATACCCCAAGATGTTTTCCCAAATCCATTCAGACTATACTCAGAGACTACTGATAATCAGCAAAGAATGTGCTTCAGTGATTTACTCAAATCCCTGTGTGCTGGATTTGCAGGAGCTACTTAAGACAAGAAGCAGAATCTAATGATAAGAGTCAGTCACCCATGTTTGGCACTTAATTAACCATTATCTAACCATATTAGCATGTATCTTAATACAGCAGTTCCATCAGATAACTAAGAAACTTAGACAAATATTTTTCAGAGGCTAAATCCAAAATTACTCTGCAAACTGAATAGATAGACTACATCTCTCTAATCCATAGAATCACAGAACGGCTTGGGTTGGAAAAGATCTTAAAGATCATTTAGATCATTCCAACCACACCTTCCACTAGACCAGGTTGCTCCTAGCCCCATCCAACCTGGCTTTGAACACTGCCAGGGAAGGGGCATCCACAACCTCTCTGGGCAACCTGTTCCAGCACCTCACCACATTCACAGTCAAGATCTTATCTAAATATGTTCTTTTTCAGTTTGAAGCCATTCTCCTGTGTCCCATCACTACAATTGCTTGTAAAAAGTCCTTCTGCAGTTTGTTGTAGTCCTCCTTTAGGTAGTGAAGAGCTACTAGAAGGTCTCGCCAGAGCCTCCTCTTCTTCAGGATGAACAACCCCAACTCTATCAGCCTGCCTTCATAGGAGACATACTTCCATCCTCTGACCATCTTCACAGCCTTCTCTGGACTCACTCCAGCAGGTCCATGTCCTGCATATGCCAGGAGCCCATACCTGGCTGCAGCACTCCATGTTATATCTCACCACAGTGGAGCAGGGGGACAGAATCACCTCCCTCAACCTGCTGGCCATGATGTTTTTGAGGCAGTCCAGAATGTATCTGGCTTTCCATGCTACAAGCTCCCAGCTCACATTGAGCTTTCCATTCACCAGCACCTCCCAAGTCTTCTCCGCAGGGCTGCTCTCAATCCATTCTCCACCCAGTCTGTACTTGGGGTCCATTGATCTAATCCACCTCTCTCTAGTTTAGAGGCAAGGATGCCATATATGAGACAGTGTCAAATTCCTTGCACAAGTCCAGGTAGTTGATGTCACTCTTCCTTTTTGCTGTAACCTCATTGTAGAAGGCAACGAAATTGGTCACACACTATTTACCTTTAGTGAAGCCCTGTCGGCTGCCACCAATCACCTCCTTATTTTCCAGTTTCCTTAGTACAGTTTCCAGGATGATCTGCTCTGTGATCTTGCTGGGCACAAAGGTCAGGCTGGCCTCTAGTTCCCAATGTTTCCCTTTTTTTTTTTTCTCTTTTTAAAAATGAGGGTTATGTTTCCACTTTTGCAGGCAGTGGGAACCTCACCATACTGCCACAACTTCACAAATATGGATAGTGGCTTAACCATTTCATCTACCAGTTTCTTCAAGAGTGGCAGATGCATCTCACCAGGCCCCATGGACTTTTCCACCTGCATGTCCGTCAGACAGTCTCAAACCTGATCTGCTGCAGTGGGCACTTTCTCCATCTCCCAGCTCCTGCCTTTGCCTGTGGCAGCCTGGGCAGTGTGGCTGGAGCACTTCTCAGTGAAGACTGAGGGAAAAAGTAATTCAGTACCTCAGCCTTCTCCACATTCCAATCAGGCATTCCTTT